AGAGTGCATCAGCGACGACATTAAGTCGTCCTGGTTTGTACTCGACCGTAAAGTTGTATTCTGTAAAGAATGACAACCACCGCGCCATTCGTTGTGAAAGGTGCGGGCTGTTCACTGCCGTGCGTAAGGACGCATGGTCAGTGTAAACAATGAAGGGTCTATCTCCTAATAGATAGACTCTGAACTTCGCGAGTGCATACTTCATGGCAAGGAGTTCCTTGTCATGCACTGGATAGTTCCGCTCAGCTGGTTGCAGCTGACGCGACTGATAGCAGACGACGCGTTCAACGCCTTCAAGATCGTACTGCATTAATGCACAGCCGATTGCGAAATCGCTGGCATCACAGACCACATGAAATGGCCTGTCCTGATCGGCTATTGCTAGGACTGGGGATTGTATCAAGCTCTGATTGATACCCTCAAAGGAGCGCTGACACTCAGCGTTCCATTACCACCTCTCGTTCTTTTTCAACAAACGAGAGAGGTGCACAGTAATCTCGGCGTAATTGCGTGAATACTTATGCAAATACGCCGCTAGCCCAAGGAATTTTCGAAGACCTTTGACATCAACCGGCACAGGCCAGTCGGTGATCGCCTTGATCTTTTCGGGATCAGGACGTACACCGTTCTTACCAACGATGCACCCAAGAAGTGGTATTTCGCTTGCTGCAATTATACACTTCTTGAGGTTTGCATACAATTGATGCTTTCGCATGATTGTAAGAACCTGTCGGACGTGGTACCTGTGAACCTCAACGTCCGACTTTCCATCCATAGCTCGACTATGGATGAATACGTCATCGAAATAACTCGGCGCGAATTCTCGTACTGGTCTCAACAGGTGTGATACACATCTGTTGAACGTGGCAGGGGCATTACTAAGCCCTTGTGGCATTACTAGCCATTCCCAGAGCATGCCGCTAGGCGTGCTAACTGCGGTATAGGGTATATCCCGTTCTCGCATAAGGATTTGATAGAAGCCATCCATCAAATCCATGGACGAAAAGATGGTACTCTTTGACATACCATCAATGATTACGTCCTTCCTCGGTATCGGCGTCTGAGCCGGTACCGTTGCAGCGTTCAATTTGTTGAACGCATGCACTATCCGCCACCCTCCTGTTGCCTTTCGCACACAGAAGGTCGGAGAGCTATGTGGGGAAGTTGATTCCCTCACATGGCCCGCAGCTAAACGATCGGCAAAGAACTTGTCGATCGCAAGTACTTGTTCACGAGGCAGTGGCCACTGCTTCATGATACAGTACTTCGAGCCTGGTTTAATCTCGACCTCGTGTCGAATACCTTTATCCTTCGGTAGTTCGCATGGAACAGTTTCAGGGAATACATCCTTGAATTCAACCAAATCTTCATAGAGAGGATTTGTCTTGAGCGATTCATACGATTGGGAGTCATATCGCTCAATTCGTGTCTTTTCATCCAGGACACTCTCGTCCATAGATGAACTACTGAGAACTCTCTCGTTCTCAGTGAACACTGTTGCTGACCTTATGTCGGTTACACACTCGTCGTCAGCGACGAGTATGCAGATCTGCTTGACTTTGCCACTACGCAGATCACGCAAGAACCTTTTGTGGTCGAGCGTTGGCAACTGAGTGATCTCCGAAGTTAACTTCGGAGGCGCAATAAGATCAAGTGTATAAGCGCCTACACTTGATCCGTTATTGACTATGACATTCAATGTCTCTGTCATTTCCTGGGGACTTATTCCCTCAGGCCTCGAAGGACTTATTCCTTCGGCTTCCCGGGGACTTATTCCCGCGGGTTTCGGGGAACTTATTTCCGCCGTATTTGTAATATTGGGACTTATTCCCTTTACTTCCTCTAGCTGGGGTTGCGCAACCACAGCGAGATCCTCTACGAAAGACTCTCCAGTCGATCTAGGATTATCGTTTCGCTTAACCTGAGCGATCGATTGTTTCTCTTCTAGATGTTCCCCGCTAGGGATACATCTTTGTCCCAGTCCACCCGACTTATTCTAGTGGTGGACCTTCGGCGCAGCCTGTGTTTCCTCACAGCCGCCGGAACTTTGCTCCGAAGTGTAACCGTTTGGTACACTAAGGTTTTGTGCAGTCGTACTAACGACCGTACCACAAGTGAAGCCATCGCATTCACTCGTAGTACATCCACACGCTTGTGGACGCTCCAAAACGTTCATCAGATGGCCATCTGATGAACAAGCGGCAGGCATCGTTACTGTTCGATGTTGCCAGTTTACCCGTGGTTCGTACCTTCTGAGCCACGGTATTCCAAGGATGACATCAAATTTGTCATCCAAGTCCAATAAGATAAAGTCATCGTCATATTGGGTATCTTCTAGCGTATAGTGGGTCTTCACTATACGCTTCATGACGGTTACGGATGCGCCTGTCGCAAGACGTACCGTCATCCTCGTAGGAGGTGTGTCACATTCACTGAACTTAAAGTGACCATCTTCTAGCGATTGGCGTCGCAAAAAATTGTTGGACTCCCCACAATCGACTAGAGCTCGAAGGGACAACTTTTTGTCACTTCGAGTTTCAAGGTAATGAGTAAGACCTCATTACCTAGAGCAGCAACACACAACGTTTGTGTGTTGGGAGCAACCTTCATCAAGAGGCCTACAAATTCTCTTGACGTTGCTGGATCAGTAGGGTGCTCCGCACCTACTGATCCTGTCCGTTTTTTGACGGTCCATCCCGTTGTTGCGTCTTTGCACCAACAGCGGACCCGCGTCCCTGCCCCTTTCTCATGGGTGGACGGTCACTACGCCCAGTGTTGCGAGACACTGGACGAGGGGCACTACACTCGTAAGCGTAGTGTCCTGTCTTCTGACATCTGTTGCATTTCTGCAACTTCTTGTAGTCTGTAGAGCGAGCCTTCTCGCTCTCTACATAACAGAGTTCCATCGAATCTGGACCTCTGCTGTCATATCGTCTCGGTTGACGATATGATGTCGAGCTGGCGCGAGCCTGTCTCAGACTGAAGTCTTCCTGTTCCGCAATGGAAACGGCTTGTTCTAGTGAATCTAGTTCAAGCCGGAACAGGTGAGTCTTGACGGGACCATCCGCAAGACCCTGCATGAACACCGAAACCAACGTGTGTTCATCCACCGGATTGGAACTTATACAACTCGTGAGATGTCGTATATGTTGCGCGTAAGCGTGCACATCACGCTTACCCTGCTTGAGCTTCAAGAGTTCGGTTCGAGCTCTGAACTCAGCTCTAGGCGGTTCAAGCGTTTGTCTGAGCCGCGACTTGAAGACTTCCAACGACCCAAACGCATATGGGTCGTGCAACTTGAGCCCCAGTGCCCAAGTCTTGGCACGTCCTGCCAGATTTGACTGGGCAAATGCAACTTGCATATCCCCGTCGTCGATGCGACGCGCCCTTATGGCGTCATCCAATTCGACGAACCATCTCAAGAGGGAGTCCTCTTCGACTCCCCTATACTTAAGGATGTCAATCTTCAAAGTCTCGGGTCGACGCGAGTGCATCGACCCGCCAGTAGCAGCCTGCTGCTGTCTCAACAGTTCAAACTGTTGAGCACCCTGTTCTCTCAACAACTCTGCTTGTTGAGAAACTTGTTGGTGAAGCAAGGCTACTTTCTCGCGTTCAGCGTCAAGTTCATTTTGAATGAACTTGGCGATAGTAGCATGTTGGGCATCTCTGTTGAGAGCCTCTAGCATGACGCTAACAGCATGGATGCCCATGGTTGAACCCATTCGTTCAACCGCATCCTATTCGACATCGCTCAAATGGGAGTAGCCGTCACGCGTAGCGTGAAAGCTTTGGTCATCTTCATCATCCAACATATTCATGTTAGATGTGAACGTGGTCCTTGGACGGACTACGAAGTGCTACCAGGTGTAACGGGGCACCCTGAAGCTTGTACTGGTGACAGTACAAGCTACTTATTCTGATGACAGAATAAGGCGGTGCCTCGTAACTTCACGTACAGTGCAGAGGAAGACGGTAAGAAGAAGCGAGTACTTGGTTAGAGTAAAAAGTAGAACTGTATTTATAATAGTTAATGTCTGCAATAAATCACTATTTATCTTCATCTAACTATGTCTAAATACAAATATGTAAATCAACTATCTGCTCACCACTCATTGCGTGCGTCTGTCGTGGCGCGTCTTCGTTGGTTGATATAATGGCCGATATCAACCAATTAGGAACTACTCGTAAGTGCTACAGAATATTTGTCCTTATGACAATATTCTGAGAATATAACTCTTATAGTTATATTCTATTAACAATTTCTTATAAATTGTTATGTAACGATTCACCCCGTTACAACTCTAGAATGGCCGTAAATGATGGTATTGAATTGGAAGTCCAGCGCCGGAACAGACACGTGGTCGCTCTCCCAACGCATTCTATAAACGGTTTGCCGATGATGCGTCTCCACTGAATGCCAAGAGTGACGAATGCATAAAGTCTCTGATCAATCACCATGAGAAGAACAAAAGTATCAAGGTACACTTCAACTTTCGTGATTTATCGGAGTGGGACTGCCGAGGGGCAACTGAGGGACGTCCTGTTTTAGTTTCTTGTGGACGACAAGCCCCGCGACCCATTCGACGAAACATGAGCGCAGACGATTGGCTTTCAGTGGACCGAGATCGTGCTTGCGGCGGCTTTCACTCCGGCTGAGGAACTGCCTCAACCCAAGACAAGGGGACGAACTGACGTTCACTAAGAGCAACTTGCCGACCTCCAACGACTACACGCACGACAGTGACGATGATCCGGCAGTGCATCTTCCCAGTAGGCGCCCGCTTATCGAGCTAAATAAACCCGTGTTGTTTGCTCAAAAACCCGGGTTGTAATGGATTAAACCGAAAACCCGATTGCCTCATTGAAATAATCGGGGGTTTCCAGCCCTGACAGCAACCCCGTCTTTTTTTTACTTTCACGTCCATAACGACTCGAGCTAAAATAGTCCGGACCAAATTTAGGTCGCGACAATGACAAGTACGAGCCATTCGATCACAAAAATGGCCACGACCGCGAGGGAAGTCGAGCTCCAGCACAAGCTGCTGCAGGACGCGCAGTCCATCAACGAAGTGACGCGTCTACTGCGCCAAGAGATCGCACTGTTCCAGCGCACGATGTACAAGAACCACAGCCAGCATCGTCGCGCGTTTTTCTTTCAGAATCTGCAGCACGTGAAACGACATCTACGGGATTTGCGGCTCGAGGCTTTGACTGCCGCTTTTGCAGAGGCTGCGGCGGTTTTTAGCCAATTGGAACTGCCGTCTGGAGCGCACCATATTTCCTGGAAGGTACTCGCATCCGATCTAAAGGTCAGGGTTGATGCTGCACTGCGGAAGCTCCAGACTGTGGCAAGAGCAGCGGCAGAAGTGATTTGGGTCGCTCAGAAGGCGTACAAATGTACGGTAAACTACGGCTTCTGGACGGTATTTTATTTGATTCAAGTTTTGACTCGACTATAATTGTGTCATTGTTTGTGGTCTGTGGATGCAGGTTTGCTGGTCCAGTTTGCTATGACGTACTTTATGCCGTTCGTTCTGATGATGAATAGCATCCTTGCTCGACTGACGGTTTTGATGAAGACAGTACTTGTGCGAGCAATTGAGCTGCACGGAGGTATGACGTTGCTGTATCTGAACGAGGTGACCAAGTCGAATCCACTGCGTGCCAGGGTCACTGCAGTGCAGCTCCGTGGGTACCAGATTTCTTCCGACGTCCTGCAGATTGCAAACGCTTAGCGCAGTTTTCAGACATGGCGCTGAGTACATGAGAGAAAAAGCACGTGAGACTCGTGGACGGACACGAGCTTCTGTTGGACACGTTACTACACCACAACGTAAGAACATCATATTACACATACACTGCGCCCGCTCGTTTCACACTTTACAAATCTTCCACCGAGTCTGCAGTACGCAGAAAACACACAGCAGCTTGTTGCAGCTGAATGACGCACACTAGAACCAGCTGGTGCACACTTCCACTTCACGAACGGTTCGAAGACTTGCTGAAGCTGGCTGTCGTTTTCTCGGACTTCTCAAAACCCTTTACATTGTTCACATCAGAACGACCGCGCAACACCCGTGAGAGACAAAGTCCAGCATCATCGTCACAAGTGACGAACCTACCTGTATGCTGAGATCAAGTACTCGAGTAGTCATGTTTCGGTCCATTTCCACCTGCACCCCAACCGTACACATCGTCGGCGCTGCACCAGTCAACAAAGCACACGCGTTGGATAACAATCACTTGATCAGATATAAAATCACACAACAACAACGAACTTTACTGCTATAAAGTCGTACCAATACAACTGCACGATTTCTTGGACATTCCACAGCGATTGCACTTGAAATTGGACGGCACAAGGGGACACACGTGACCCCTTTTGGGTTCGCCACACTAAATAGCACCACCAGCAACCCGTAAATGACTTGACACACAAAATAAACCCTCGAAAGTACCGGTTTCGTACTTTACTGCAGCGGTAATTGCCTCGGTTCCGGTTCTGATTCCGGATAGCGAGCTCCATCTCAAAGCTGATCCCGTCCAGTCCGCCCCCAACTTCTCTCTGGTTCTGGAGTTGATCCAGGAAGCCACCCGTCGGGGCGTTGCGCATAGGCACCGCATTCATCTCGTAGTCCAGTCCATCCACTACATCAATACCATACGCGTTCACTTCTCAATCCAGTAAAAAGACCGCCACTAGCTGCAAACCTACAGCCATGTGCCCTCGTCACTCGATTGTTCCCACTCATTTTAGTGTATACTGTGTGCGTCAATCTATTCAGCAACGTGTATACCAGTTCGTAAGTATCCATCGCATCTCAGTAGTATCCATCCATCCACCCATCAGCTCAAAACAACCCACCCACCCACCCACGCAACCGCTGTCTTTCCGATCCTCTCCAACAGCATACCGATTACCTACCGCAGGTTTCCACCCCACCATCCACCCACTCTCACGCCCTCCATCGTCATGTCCTTCAGCTTCGGCCAGGCGACCGACGGCCGCTCGAGTTTCTCGCTCCCTACGAGCGCCGCGGCGCCTCCTTCGGCCTCGACGTCTTCTTCTGCGTCTTCTGCAGGTAATTTCAGCTTTGGCGCGACCGCGGGGGGCGTCTCGACGCCGTCAGGAGCTCCGTCCAGCGGCTTCTCCTTTGGCGCAGCGACTTCGAAGGCGCCAGCAGCTCCTGCGACCTCTTCCGGCTTTGGATTTGGTACAAGAAGTGGTACAAACAGCACGTCGACAGCAGCAGCAGCAGCAGCTCCAAGCACAAGCGGGTTCAACTTTAGTGGGACGTCGAAAGCGCCGTCGTCGGGCTTTAGCTTTAGCGCCCCGGCGACTGCTGCGGCTACTGCTGCTACTTCAGCGTTTGGGCTGGGGACGAAGCCAGTGGCAGATGAAGTTACGGCGCCGGCTGGGCTGAACAGTACGGGAGCTGCTTCGAAAGCTCCTACTTTGACGACGACGTCGACGACTCTGGGTGGGTTTACTTTCGGAGCAACGAGTGGAACGCCAGCACCGGTTGCTGCTACTTCAGAAGGGACGAAGCCCGCGACGACGACGTCCACGGGGTTTTCGTTTGGTGGTGCCATTTCTACTTCAGCAGCACCAGCAGCCAGTGGTGAAGAGAGCAAGAGCGAGGCAACGACGACCTCGATAGTGCCGTCGTTTGGATTTGGCATGTCGACAGCTACTTCCGGTGCTAGTGGAGCACTGACCCCAGCAGCTACGTCGACGGCAACGACCACAGCTATGACTACTTCTACGACTACTGCTACTTCAAGTCCAGTTGCAGAGACGGAGAAGCCTCCTGCTGAGTACATGGGTCGAACTATTGAGGTACGACTGTGGGTTGGAAGGTAAAAAAAGTGTGGGGTTATGCTGGATGGGAGGCTCATGGACGTGAACAATTGTGCGATGATTCTTTATTGCAGGACATTATTAATGCGTGGAGCGAGCAGCTCGAGCGCAATGCTGACACCTTTACTACCGAAGCTGTGAAAGGTGCGATAGTGTATGCTCTTTTTGGTGATGGGGAATGGAATGTTTATGTGACTGGTTGGTGTTGCACGTTTTGTGGATATGAATTGGTAGTGAGCAAATGGGATAGCGACCTTCTGGATAGCCAGAGAAAGTTGGGGGACATTGCTGGTGACGTGCGGCGTATTCAAGTCGCGCAGAACGAGTTAGATTCGAACCTCGACACGATCTTTGCGTACCAGATGGAGCTGAAGTCGACGCTTGAGGTACGACTATATCGCACGCGTGCTGTTGTTTGGTGTGGATGTGGTCCGCTAAGGTTTGTGTGGTGTCGTTTTCGCTACGCAGCAACTGGAAAAGAGTGTGGACAAGATGTATGAGTCGCAGCATCAGATGCCCGTGGCCGCCGACATTGAGCGTGAGCAGACGCTGCAGTTGTCGGTGGATCTCGACGACCAGCTGAACTCGATGACGACGACGTTGAAAGAGACGGTCGAGAAATTGAATAAGGCCCAGGACGACGCAGCTGATGAGAACAATCCAATGGTGCAGATCATGAAGGTACTGAACGTACACCACAATTCGCTGCAGTGGATCGAAGGCACCACTGGTCGGATCGATAGTGAAATTGCACAGCTGTCGAGTAAGCTGCAGAATTCGTCAATTTAATTCCTGGTGCCTAGCGAGTTTGAGTTCTGGTTGCAAGGAACGTGTCGTGCGTCATCAAATCGTGCTTTTACAACGCGTGTGTGCTTGGGATGTTTGATGGGTCATTGAATGTCGACAAGGTATCGCAAATGTCGAATCGGTATGATTTCGATTCCGCTCCATTTGCTGGTACGATCCCTCAAGTTGAATGGAAGCACGAGTTGAATGTCAAACGGTAAAGACTTACCAGCTATCGAGTGGAGCAAAGCTACTGTGGATTATTCGTGCGATATTCAGCAACAGTTCGCAGAGCACACTCTGGAGTCTAATGCACAGCAAGTGCCCCCTCACCGGCTAGCTTTGCCTGGATCAACACGATTCCGTGATGATTTGGACGAGTGTGCTAGTCGGACGAGCTGGCTTACCTGAATGCACGCTTTCAACTAAGCCAAGTGATATCCGTTCAGAGTGGATGTTCCCTCGAAAAGTTACGTCGCTTGTTACGTCTTCCTCAAGACCAATGCAACTGCAGACGAGCTGGATGTTACAGCAGCTACTACAGCAACACCTTTACCCTAGCAACTCATTCAGCCAAAAGAAGCACGTCACTCTTTGATGCAAGAGCTCTCGCGGCCTGAAGTAGAGAAGCTGTTGGCGTATTACGAATGGCAGTTGCACGGATGTCGAGCTGGCTTTCTACTCTTGCAGCTGACGCAATGGCAAAAAAACGTAGCAGAGGTAGTAGCTGAAGCAGTTGTGGGTCAGCATGTGCATCTCGGGCCCTGCGACTTTGTGCAAAGACAGCAACTATCCACTACTCTCACATCTTCAAGGGTAGGCTGCATAGAGATGCGGTTCTTTAGTCGTCTTCTCACCAGCAGCTAGACTATAAGATTGTTAACGGTCATGCTTGAACTGCATGGTAAAGTCCTTGTGCTGCTCCCCATTCTCATGGTCCACATAAGGAGACTTAGATGCCGTGTCGACTTCAGATACCCAAGCTATACCTGTGTACCTGTATCTACTATAACAAGCTTGTCACCTTCGTGGCAAAGTCACGTCTGCATCATGGAAATGTTATTCCCAAATCCTGCGTTACCATTCCCAAATCCTGCGACTTGTCAAGGTCTCCGATATGCAGCTAAACGAGATGAGATCAACAGTTCACAAACCAGAAGAAGAAGTTCGACCGAAAGCCACGAAACGGCCAAAGACGAACTGTAAAACCAGTTTCGAGCAACGTAACGAACGCCGCAGTTCCACATCTCCTTTGACTTGTGTAAAGCTGACCAATGCGTTCATGCATCCCAGAATGTGCGAGTGAACTGCGCAAGTGGAGCTTGCTTGGAGTCTCAATTACTCAGGCGTACCCATCACACTGTGAGAAGCTTCCGCATGATTCCTTTGCACTGGCAGCTACATGTGCCTTGACACAGCAGTCCACTGATGGTTTGTTCCTTCAAGTCATTGACACTAGTCGGATCTCTTACACCTTCTGACTGTCCTCTTCACAGGATGAAGATCCCAACTCAGGAGCAAACACGTTCGAGGTGCTTCGGTTAACACGATCGATCAACTCCGTTCTTATAACCGGAACGGTGGGTTGTCGACAGGCGCAACCGTTGAAACCTCCGAAACAATCGCTACTCACTACACCTGGAAGCGGTTCCTGATCCTTCCTAACGGAGCCTTTGAGCTCGATCAACTTTTCAGAATCCATTTGCCAACAAGTCACCAACCTCCCCCCACGTATCGTCTTCCTTCCATCCCCTCCCTCCCTCTTCTCTCCTCTCCTTATTCCTACCATGCCAAGTGCCGCTCAATCTTCGCTTGCTCTAGTCGCCACTGCAGTAGCTATCGCAGCTTCTTCTTCGATCCGCCTCGACCCGAATAGCTGCAATGCTCGACTGCGTCATGATGAGCCAACGCCGTTTGAAGCGCCTGCTCACATGAACGACGTGTACGCGATGTTGTTGACCCACGTCAATGAAGAGCGAGCTGCCCACGGCCTTGCGCCGCTTTGCGCCAGCTCCAAACTGCACCACGCAGCTCAACGTCAGTCGGAAGATATGGCAGCCAACGACTTTCTTCACCACGTCGGAACCGACGGATCAACAGTCCCCAGTCGCATTGCAGACGCGGATTACAAGTGGAAAACCATTGCGGAGAACGTCGCAGGCGGGCACGACGATGCACGATCGGTCATGGGGAACCTCATGGACTCGACAGGGCATCGCCTGAACATCCTTGGGGACTACACGCATTTCGGCGCAGGCTACACCTACAACCCGGATGGTCTCCACGCGCATTACTGGGCACAGGAGTTTGCAACGAGCGAGAGTGAGAGCTGCGATGAGCCTCGACGATACCAAGCCGACAGCTTCATGTCTAGCTACTTCTAAGCACGAGAAGACCCTGTTACTACTTGAGCATTGATTCATCATCACGTGTACTCTGTATTTGAACTTCAAGGTCGCTGTTATTCGCCTTGTTAACTCTGCGTGAAGTCGTCAAGGTCGGATCGCACGACCATCTTCAGTAGTAGTAAACTGTTGGTTCCTTTCGATCGTGACTGCCCCTCGGCTGCCAACTGTGAGTACACGACACCAGAGGCACCACTAGATTATCGTTGCAGCAGCCAAAGACATGCTACTACTTGATCACTAACGTGAAAAAATGAAAGGCAAGTGGATCCCTGAATCAAAGAGATGCTGCAAATTGTTGCAGGCAACTCACTCCTACAGAGCGGATGATTCATGGACATGAAGCGGTCTACTTGGACACTGGAGGTGCAATATCTTCCGTGAAGGGGCTCGTAGGACGTTGACATTGATACACTGGAGATATTCGTGCAGACAAGAAACAGCATCCTCATCCTCCTCAGTCAAGCATATCGAAGAATCAGTTGTTGCACGTGCCACTATCGCTGCACCAGCGACAAGCAAGAAGGTGATTGAACCGTTCAAGTCTGGCATGGATCCGACCAATGGAGGTGGTCGAGTTGGTAGGAAGGTGAAGTTGTTGCACAATGAAGCTTGGAACGAGACCAGCGAAAAACAAGGCAGCGATTCGATCGAAAGCAGCGCTACCGACAGCGCAGGTCGAAGACATTCAGCATAATACCGCACGCAGTGCAGTTTTTATACTGTATGGACACGCTGTACAGGGATAAACTGTATAATAGATCGACATGATGTGCTTGTGTATCTATCAGTCAGTCAGTGCCTTGATAATTCGATCGACGGCGGGAATGTTGTCGCCTCGTATGCCATCTGTGATTCGAGAACAGGCTTTTCGTATCCTGTTTCTGATCCGAGCTTTCTCAAAGAACAAAGAATGGCTGGTCTAAACATGACGACGACTTGGCTTCAGTAGGAGAAACCAAACACCGCTGTTGCTACCAAATATACGCATTAGATTCGTACATGTTTTACTCAGTTGTACGTGATCGGGTGCTACGTCTCTCGTTTTGCTACAACACTCCCAACAGTCTAGAAAAAGTTTGTGCTTTGGAATCCTGCTCGTCGTCGTCTTCAGACGATTTCTCATCCCCAATCTCGACAGCAGCTATAGCACCCGAAGCTCGGTGCTTCGCCGCTTTCAAACGGGCAGCTTCGTCATCCGAATGGAGAGTTGCGTTGACGTGGGCTACAGGCGCAACCGCGCCAGAAAACGTATCCGGCACAAGCGTCTTCAGATGATCTTTTAGCTTCTTCTGCTTCCTCGCGGTGACATTCGAGTGTTTACGCTTTTTCTGCTTCCGAGTTGGGGATTTCGAGTGCCTCACTCTGTCCTTCCCGCACGCCTCCGTAGTACCGGAGCCAAAGTCCTGTGTCCAGTAGTACTCCTTTGTAGCTCTCTTGTTGTACGTACACGCTGTGCCAAACATCGTATAGCTCGGGTCAAGAATGTTCTTGCGATGTCCTTCCGACTTCATCCACGCCTGCATGACCGACTCGACATCCTCCTGCCCCGCTGCAACATTTTCAGCCACTGCCTCCCACTTGTAACCTGCTTCGGTAATTCGTCGGGAGACGGAGGACCCATCTGTCCCGTTGTGATCCATAAAGTCGTGCTTGGCCATATCGTTCGAGTGTCGCTTCGCCGCAGCTTGGAGCTTTTTGTTCCGACAAAGCGGCGGCAGATGGTGCAGTGCACGCACATAATTGACGTGGGCGAGCATGACTGCATGATAGTCGGCATGGCGAGCTGCATCGGAGAAAGTGTGGGAGACAATGGCACCAGCAATGACAAAGGCAGCGATTGAGTGGAGACGTGTCGGACACATTTGAAGTTGCGGGAAACTGTGACGTCAGGGAGATCGATGGTCAATTATAAAATGAACGACGGAGCTGACGCTGATCCGGTAATGGACGTGGTCACCATCGCAAGAGAAGTGAAGACCTTTGGTCCGGCTCGGTGCTCGAGATGTGGTGTGAAGTCTCGTACATTGTGCCTGAGGTTCACACAGATCCGCGCTTTTTTTTATAGGGATTCAAAGGCACTGGTTCTGATACCAAGAGCTCGTAAACGAACCTTTGAAGCGTACAGTTTACAGGGGAGGAAGTCACAGCATTGCAGACATTCATGTACTAAGTAGGTCCAGATTGTGGTGGAGGCTCAGTCCCACACATCGCTACAAACTGTGAGCTATATATACAGTGCAAATTGCGCTCCGAGAGTGCTTTGTGGATACAAAGTGCGTTACCAGTGAGACATCGGCATAGTGATGGAACTAAGCAGAACCCATGTCAGCCAAAGGATTAGGCTGCAGCAAAGCCCCAAAAAGTAGTGTACAAATTAGCCTTCGCCGTCTGTTGACCTTGATGCTCTGACGCTTGAGCTGTTTGCAGCGTGCTGGGAACGATATAGACAACTCAGTATTAATAAGCAGTTGCCAAGATCGCTGCAGTCTCCTCGTAACCTTTCTGTAGACGTCTTCCTATGGCAACCACGTACCGGATAGCGACGGCTGATGTGATTGTCTCATCGATCAAATCCGAATCCACCACTGGCACGACCGCGCTCGTGGTCTCGCTAGGAAGCCGACCTTTGACGAAAACGTAAAGACGCCTCGCTTTGTTTTCTTGCAGAATGGCGTTCCGGTAAGATGACGCGCCAGTCACAAATCCTTGACTTTTTATGGACCTGAGGATCTTTCGTGCTACTCTGGTCGAACTGATCACTTGATCGGAACTAGAGCGGAAAAGGTGATGCGAGATGTCTCGTCCAATCCCTCCGACCAGCTTTGTGACGTGGGAACAGGTGGCAGCGGCAAATCAGCATGCCTGGGATGCAGTGTTAGTGCTGACTATCCAATCAGAACATGAGCAAAGGAATCAATGCACTGGTGAAGTAATCGTTGTTTTGCTGAACGTGGAATCCTGCAATTCAAATACATTATTCCAGCATAAGAGCCCCTTTGCCGCATTTGTACGGTGCACAGCAGCATAAGGTTCGCGCGCACTGCTGACTTAGCAAAGATAGGTGAGCAAGCTCGGGAGCTCACTCCCGTTGATGAGTGAGAAGTTCACTAAAGAGAACTGCATGAAGTTCGGTATATTCACGTACCCCTTTCGGGTGGTCGACAGCTAGGGAAGTGCTGATCGATAACATGTGTTAACGCTACTCGTTGATGGTTCCTGATGTTGAAACACGACGAATGCGAGAAAAGAGAGACGCGGGTGATCCTGCTCGTTCACGCGGTCAACAACAAAGTGCGCCTGACGCCGTGTAAATTATTTATGAGCGAGACAAATTGAATTGAAGGGGCTTCCTCTTTTTTTTAAAGAGGAACATGAACATGACTACTTACTATCTGAGTTTATCAAAGTCCTTTTTACAAAAAGAAATAACTCCATTGTCCCTGTAATTGCAGAGGTGTGAGACTTTCGCTGTCAATCAGTCAGTCCCGAGCATTTTGCTTGTTAGCTCTCTGATCGCCTTGGCCTCTTTTGAGCCAATCACGTGTGGGCATTGGTGCGTGTGTGACTCACACTCTCAACGCGGTCGCATTAGTGACCTCATCAAAGAGTGACACCTGACATGCCTACTCCTCTGTCCCATTTGTTTACGGACTGAAAAAGTTACGTGAGCTGCATGGAATATGATGACTGGCTAAAATTACCAACTTTTTTTAAGTCTGGTTTGTTTGGCATTTAATCACCACAAACAAGCTATTCTGAGAAATTGGCAGTGAGCGCTCGCCAGCGAAAATGAGGTGACAACAGTATTCAACTGCCGCATGTTGATAAGATCACTTTTCACGTAGATCGCGTCCTTCATCGTTACCGATCGCTTCTGCACTTGTTTCTGATCAGTTATGTTCCTTAGTAAGAATGGCCAATCTGAGCTTTAAGCAAAAATAAAAATGATGATAAAAATCGGTGTTTTCTAGTGGCTAAAAATCATTCGGTCTGTCATCATTTTTGACACATTCCGCCGAATGAAAACGGAAATGAAAACCCCCACTTCTATTTCCATCGATTCTGCTGCTTTTAGTGTCAAAACTGCTGATAAGATGGTCACGCTGCGTTTTAAGTGGCCAAAACTCCTCCTTCGAGTGAATTCCACCACCTTTTGTCGCCACTGCGGCAAAAATCTAAGACTCTTAACACTGATCAGACAAACACCAGTTTATTTCTGCGGTATCTGCACTCAAATGGGATCCGAAATTGCACCAAACGCTTTACAATGAGCTCTGTACGCTGGTGCTATTTTCGTCTAAAACCACAGGCTGAGTCAAAAATGCGAGCCAAACGCGTGATAATCCATAAACAAATGGGACAGAGTAGTACATTTCACAAATTCATATTGGGCGCCCATGCCTACAACCGTCCACACCCATGGCTTTTTATGGTCATGGTTGCAACGGACAATCCGAGGGTGGACGTGGGTGGGCCCGACGTTGCAAGCTTACATTTAGTCCGCAATACATTGTTGCGAGCCTAAAGGGTGAAGCTATCAGTGACTTTGCGCAAGGCTGAGTGTTGGGCTTTCTAAATCGTACTTATCCGTGTGCGGTGTCTGTCAATAACGCGGCCAGGTGTAGCTTACACGTATTCAGTGCGATCTAGACTGTCTTACCGCATTGGTTTCCGACATTTTCAAGTCACTATTGTGGCGGATGCTTGTGATTCGCTTGAAAACGATCAAAGGTGAGCATGATCACAGTAGCAAAGGCTGATCGCGATGCCCTAGCATATACGGTACTGAGGTCACTACAGACATTAACAGCATCACACTCCTTCTATTCACTCACTGCTGTAGCATAGCGCTTTCGCAACTTCATTCAGTTCGTACGAACTGAATGACTTATATCAAGGGGCGAGCTCTAGAGCTTGCTCCCCCTATCATTATAAAGCCCATTGATTACAGTGTAAGAGTCCTTTTTGTATAAAACAAGGCGAATGCTGGATCGTTCTTTAGGTATTGTAAAAATGCCATCGATCAAAACTAATGTTGTTGAATATCATCGAATTACCACTTTTTTAAAACACGACTTTTGGTGACCCTTCGCCAAAAGGGGTTTCTCGGGATAGCTCTCGCGTTTCAGCGACGCTAAACGATTTTCTAGGAATGGCATCTTATGTAGTGTTGAATGGTCGCTTCACACTAGTTACGGACATACTTCAAGAGGCATAGCAGGAAAGGTGGAATAGCGGCTACAACTTAGAGCCTGTAGGTTCATTGACTTCGGTCAGCTCCGGCTGCAGAATTAGCTTGGATGGATGCTCACAATAAAGAAGTAGATCAACAGCTCAGGAGAAATAACGAATAGCAAAACCCTTTTACCACAGAGCTGTTAGCTTTTTATCTTGGCTAGCGACATGGCTGCCGAACACGATTATCTCATGTTCTAAGAAGTGTTGGTGTTCTAGTCTGTGCGCCCACTCCCGACACTATCCGGAGCTCTTCACGAGATCGCAAACACCGAGCTTTGCAAATTCCGACCAGTCTACAATCACTAACCTTCGCGTCCCATTTTACTACGCGATTCGATTCTCGAAGAAACAACTGCGGCATTTAAACAGTACATAAATGTTGGTGATAGCAACAGTAGTTAAACAGTTACTTGAGAGCGCGCCACTAACAATGTTTCTAGGTGAGAGATACTGCCTCACCATAAGCATTCGCGATCACGTAGATGTATCATATTTGGTGGACCTGTTGGCTGTGTAGCTGTGATGGCGTCAACAAGTGGTATCCTTCTCAGCATGGAAGACTGGCAGCAGAAGGAAGAACCGTGAAGGCATTAGTCTGTTTTGCACCGAGATCGTCATATGAGCTTTGAACAGGCAAGTGAGTCAGTAATGATAGTAAATTGAGCATATGAGATCTCCTGTTGACAAACTTGGGCGTTCTATTGAGTTACCTCAGAGTTACTTCTAATTTACTCTTAAGCACTTTTCAGAATGACCCAGCCGAATCAAAAATGAACCCATCCGTTTAGCACTTGTCTGATGTAAATCTGGTAAACAACTGGGCAAAAAACTTGGGTCGGCATGGGTGGGTAGAGCCCACCCACGCTCAAGGTTTTTGACCTATGAGTGGGTGCGACAAGCGCCGAAATGGAGCTTTGCGACATATCTACCAATCAAGACGGGACAGTCTGCACCGCACTCAGTACGATGTGTAAGCTACACCAGACACAACGACAATAGATTTTGAAAAGGTCGGTGAGCAGCACCTTGCGCTCAGTCACAAATACTGTAGCTCCATCCTCCAAGCCAGTAACGATAACGGTGCATAGTGCTGGATCCTAGATGTAAAGAAGTGCAATTAGATTCAGCAGTGCCGCTGATGCAGCAGCATTAGCGCAAGTTAAAGAACCACGTACAGCTAAACCGTTCATTGACATAGAAAACTATCAGGTGACCCTGCCGAGAGTCTCAACCTACAACACGCTCGTGTTCATGTCACTTCAATCGACACTGCCGTTCCAAATCGCTTTCGAGCCGCATACCAATCGATGAGCACATGCAAGTCGCAGGGTTTGTACGTAGGAATCATTGCTTAGTGACAGCTTCAGAGGCAACTCCTGTCACGTTCCCATACAACCACATTGAATACGCTTCGCGGACCTCTCCCCGTTCACTTTTGGGGCGACATGACACTTAGAAGTTCGGTTCGCAGTCAACCTCAACCGAGGGATCAAATCCGACTTTGATGGAAGCGGTTCCGTCACCGGTACCTTCGGGGCAGGGATACGCGTCGTCGAGCCATCGGTCACCGGTACGTTCTGGCCCGTAGTCATCGACGCTGGAGCTTCTGGTGCAAGTGATTCAACGACAGGCGTCACCGGCGTCGAGTTCACGACCGTCTGAGGGATACCAGGTCCAGACGTCAAAGTAGACGGCTTCGTCCCAGGCACAACAGGCTTCGTAATCAGTGGCGCTGGAGGCTCTGCTGCAGGTGTTTCAGGGACTGGAGATGGGACTGGGGCAGCGATGTTCGGTACCGTCACGGGGGTCGGTTGCCCAGTCGTACCCTGTGCCTCCTGCTCATGTTCAATCGGGATGGTATCCGGTATGAAGTCGTCACAGGCTTCAGCTTCCCCCGAGCCGAAATCCTGCGTCCAGCGGTGCTGTTCCTTGCTGTGCAGGTTAAAGGCGTACGCCGAGCCGAACATCGTGTAGTCGCCCATGATGTTTTCCAGATGGTGCGAGGAGTTGATCCACGACGCCATGACGTCCTGGACGTTGATCTGACCCGCTGCAATGTTCTCGCCCACTGTGTCCCAGTCGAACTTGGCTGCAGTCACGCGCTCGACCATCCTCATGCCATTGGAACTGGTGTGGTCCAGGAAGTTCTTGGCAGCCATGTCATCCGAGTGCCGTTGAGCCGACGTATGGAGCTTCTCGTTCAGACAGAGAGGCGCGAGCCCCTGCGTCGCTCGCTGGGCGTTCACAGCTGCTAACATAGCGACCGCATACTCGTCGTACGACGCGTAGGTGGCAACGTTAGTCACAGTTGTGACACCGCCAAGCAGGCGTTGACGAACGTGTGTCGTGGGTTGCGCGGAACCGCATGATGCAGCTGCTACAGCCAGCAGGAGGGTAAGGGAAGACGAAGCGATGGGAAGCATGGGGTTGGACGAATCGGGGATTGACTTGGATGGGACGTGGTGGATTCGGAAGTGGGTCGAGCCTCGACGACGTCTTCAGCTGAGGCAGTGGAGCCTCCTCCTGCGCGACGACCGGCGCCGCTGTCCGCTCGAGGGGCTGAACGCTAGCGTCGAGAGTGTCCTTTGATCCGGTCGCATGTCGTCGCCACAACGTGTCGCCACTATGGCTGATCCACGTCTTTGTCTCCCTCCCTCTCTCTAGGGAGGTAGGTAGGGAAGCTCTGCCTGCAGACGAGGACTGACCACGTGCTGTCGAGGAAGCTGAAGCCAGTCCCGCACTACTCGGAGCGTCTATTGAATTCGGTCGCGAGTGGACGAGCAGCTGGCATTCCAGCTGGACGCTGTATCAGGCGTCGCCTCGTCGCTGCGTTGTCGTACCACCAACTTCACGTCCACGATAGCCGCTGCCAGGACACCGTGTCTCAAAGCCACGCAATTGACCGGTCGTGGCAACCAGGTGCTGCCCCTCCCCCCTCCTCTGTCTGTCATCGTGCTCGAGCAGCTTTTTTCCTGCGTTCAAGTGCCTTGATCGAGTGTCAGCGATGCGAAGCGACGTCAGATATCGAGGCAAAGCGGTTTCTGGAGAGCTACCACCACCTGCTTTCCAGCCAACCAGCCAGCCAACTCGTGAGCTTGCAACCCACACGTGCTCTATCTGCGAGCGCGACTCGGACGGGTTGACGTTACAGCTAGGCGACCCACCCACTTAATGGTGGACCGACAGCGCGCTCGATAGGTCCAGAAGAAGGCTGGCTCGACCTGAGCTGACCCGTTGATCCAGGCGTGAGGTTAGACCAGCTGACGGGATCTCCCTGTTGCGATCCACGAGCGCGGGACCAGACGGAAAAGGTGAACCCCATTCGGTCGGCAATAGGAAGGGGAAAACGGGGTTCGTCGCTCGTCTTCTTCGTACCTGAAGTGGTTCCCTCCCTAGCTGCGTGTGTGTGGACATTGTCGGCCGGTTAATGCCAGAGGGTAACCCAGCCGTCCATGGCGAAGGAACCTGAACGTCACATGCTCGTTTCCAGCTGGAACCTTCACCACTTAACTGTCTCGACAGGTCTTCCGACCAAGGAGGGGCTGCTCACTCTTCAGCTTCCTGTCTTCCTCACACCTGCGAACCAACGAACCAAGTAACCCAGCAACACGCAGTTCTCTACAATGATGACCATGACCAAGACTTCCCTCACCCTCTTCCTGGTTGCAGCCGTCACTTCAAACGGGGTCTCGAAAGCTGCGAACCTCCGATCTCTGGAAGGCACGACGATTCCCACCAATGTCATCACCTACGCGTCTTACGACGAGTACGCGGGGCTGATGTTGGCAGCTGTGAACAAACAGCGAGCGACGCAGGGACTCGCGCCTCTCTGTCTGAACCAGAAGCTCCACGCGTCAGCTCAACTCCATTCGGAGGACATGGCAGCCAAGGATTTCATGGGCCACGCGGGTTCCGATGGGTCGAGGATGACCATGCGGATCACCGCTGCAGGGTACGAGTGGGAATCGGTAGGCGAGAACGTTGCCGCCGGTCAAATCGACGTCCATGACGTGATGGTGTCGTGGATCAACTCTCCGGAACACCTGGAAAACATCATGGGCGACTACACGATGTTCGGCTCGGGGTACGCCTTCAACCGGAATGGTCAGTACCAGCAGTACTGGACGCAGAACTTTGGCTCGGGAGAAGCAGAAGCTTGTGATACGTCACTGCCGATTCCGGAAGAAGAGGAGGATGTCACTCAGGACGTGTACCAGGAAGAGCCGGTGAAGACGGGAATTGCTATGGAACCGGTCCCCGTTAAGGTAGTGGATGTCCCGGCTCCAGTCGTGGAGACGATGCCAGTGGAAGTCGTTCCTGCTACTGAAGCACCTGTAGTGGAGACTCCGGTCGTTGCCATCCCGGAGATTGTTGAAGCGCCTGGACAGGAAGCTCCGGTGACTCAGGCCAAGGACTGCGAGACGAACTTCGACATCTTTTCGCGCTGAGCTCAATGTGCGGACGTCAGCGCTCTCTCTCTCTCTCTACCTTGGAGCTATGTGTAAAATGCGTCGACACAGTGATGTCTCGGGTGCAGTCTAGACCGTCATACAATAAATGAACATCTTTGCTTACCAGGTTTCTATCGTTATCGCTGCATGTCCTTGTCTGCATGCAGATAGAACATCGTCCAGGTTAGCGCGGTTCAGCATTGTTTTCCAGCTATGAAGTATGACTACAACCATAGACGTCGTCTATGTGGCAGGACCCTTGCAGGTTCTCGCCAAAGGTTCGACTTCACCGTGAATGGAACTACGAAGCAGCGGCTTGTGCAGGGGTCTCTGCTTTCTCAGCTTCTACTTCGCGCAGCACCTGTCTCGCCACGCCCTCCCAGCTTTTAGCATGAGAAAACTTGTAGTGCAGGAGATAGCTGAAGCCACGAAGCAACAACGAGCAGCGAAACGCCATCACGTACTCGTCCGGGATGTACTCAATCCGGTCAATCCTGCAGGCAACAAACACCACACAACACATCACGAAACGTGCCGTTAGTACAGTTACAAAGAGATCCATTCTGTCGAAGAACCATCGTAAGCCACGCACGTGTGCAAGTGCTCAAGAAAAAGCTGCGCATTCATGCCTTCCGTGACCGTGCGGTCGTCATTGTCAATCATCAATCGAGCCTGTTTCTCCAGGAAATACGGATCCATGTTTGCCGTCTTAATGCGCATGTCCTTTGTCAGCACGTCAATGATATCGTCCCGTGCGTCACCTGCAAGTGCCACAATCAGTTTTGCCAGGTGGACCCTGTGCTCCTTCGAAATGTGCTTCACCTGGCCATAGTCGATGAGGCCAAGGCGTCCGTCCTCGAGCAGCAAAATGTTCCCAGGATGTGGATCGCCATTAAACGATCCATTGACGAAAATCTCGTACCCATGAACATCCATCACCAACTTCAGAATTGCCGGCAAATCCAGCAACTGATGATGATGATGATGCTCCTCGTCTTCTTGACGTGTCCACGTGATCGGAGCAACAAAGCCCAGCGTGTAGTCGTACACGTTCCTTCCAACACGTCTTCCAAGCCGTTTGGCCCCAAGAGTCCAGCTGTAAACGCGCAATTGCAGCGAAGACGGTCCTGTTTCAATGTCCAGTCCTCGTGCATGACGTTCCTTGTCCTTGCGCTCTTGACTTTGCTTCAACTCGTCCACGGTCACCCCTTTATCTGCAGCAATAGCTTCAAAATGGTCTTGAATGCCGTCCAGCAGTTTCCGTCCTTTCAAAAACTCCATCACCAAGACCTCTTTCGTGCAATATTCCATCTTGGGGTTCGGAATCGCGACTTTTGAGGCGTACGGGCTGTTCGCGATATTTGTTCGCACAATATCCAGATTCTTGGCTTCTTCAATGTAATTAAACTCCGTCATAAACTGCTTCTCAACCTCATAAAGGAACGGTAGATGTACCGGTTGAAAGTACCGACAAAAGTCCTGAATCGTCTTGATATCCCAGCGGAAAAAAGTCTCGGCATCCGGATGTTGCACCTTTACTGCCACTTCTTCCCCATCCAATAGAACCGCTCGATGGGCTTGACCAATCGACGCGGCGCCCAGCGGTTTTGGGTCAATGGACCGAAACAACTGGTTTACCGGTTTACCGTAACTCTGTTCCATAATCGCGCAAATCTCCGCCACCGGTTTCGAAGGCGCGTCATCTTGAAGTTTCGCGGCTCGATCGAGATACTGTTTCGGCAAAACATCTGGTCGTGTCGAACCGGTTTGGGCCAGTTTGACGTAAAACCCTTTGAGCTCCAAGACAATATCAAAGACCTCCGGGGCGTATTTGTCGTGCAACCTCTCATACTCGATATCCTGCTCCTCGATCGAAAAGTTGAGGGAATCCATGTACACCTTCGCAGCGCGATAGTGCAAGTAAATGGGGAACGCTTTGCGCCAAAAGTACAACGAGCGGTTGAACCCCTCGTCTGAATGGGCGGCGTACGTCACGCCGCCGGCCCCGACGGCTGTTGAGCCCAGTACTAGGCGTGCACCATTACGGAACATTAGCTGCCACATTCGTTGGTCTCACTTAAAAACTCTCTATAAGCTGATAGGTGCATGATGATTGGTAGATATTGGAGCTAATCGGCGTGTTGAGTGACCTTGCTACGAAAGGGCGAGGATTGGTCCCGGGCCGTGAAGTCGAAACTGGTGGAGTCGTGCAGTTTAAACCAGTGACAGCTCGACTTGATTCGAACGACCTTCGCGTCACATTACCATGAGCTCGAGTATGGGCGTGAGTATACTCGTGCGGGTTGCCCAGGAGGTGAAAGCGAGTCCTGAGCGGCAGTTTTCGACGGTTCATGGCGAGATGCTGGCGGCATTACCGGTAGAGGATCTACAATTATTGCAGGCAGCGAGTGAATTAGTCGCGAGGAATCTCGTGATCCTCGTGACGGCGATACCGTCTCGACGCAGTTTTTACCGCGTTGAGTCGGTGAACAAGTACCGAAAAAGGGATGAAGACGTGAATGGATCCTTGCATTCTGGGACACAGCCATTCGATGAGTCCATGGTCAGTGGTAATGGTGCAAATTACTACAACTGCTTCGGCCATTACTGCACCTGTGCAGTGTTTCACGAGACGGTCGTGATGACACATGCAACGGCGATGGTATGATATGTATACATCACGTGCTTCTACTATCAATACTATCTGCAATTGCTGACTGTCTATCCGTCTATCAATCTGCATATCATATAGTGCAAGCATATGGTAGCGCGGTTTCTAGCAGACGCGACCGGCCAGTTCCAGGCAATGCAGGTTGAAGACGTCTGTTTTGCTCAGATGCTTTGTCCTCCCATTGTAAAAGAGGACACCACAAATGGTCAGAGATAGTAAATGTGCTGACAATCTCTGGTCCTTCAATATCGAGTCTTTCAACGACAAAGGCCGGAGCCGCCGTCCTACTCTGTAGAATACCGGTTTTGCAAATAGTGAGGAGGTGGGCTGAGGTGCCTTGAATGTCGACCAAAGTGGTAGTCAAATCCTGTACTACCGCCGTCATGCACGACACGAATCGGGACTCTCGACGGCCGCTTGCTGCGCCCTCGCAGAGCTGGAACTGGCTCGATCTGTCGCAACAAAGTGGCGAATGCAGTCGCAACAACTGGACCAGCAGTAGCCGCTCAAATGCTGTCCAGAACCAAGGCTCTACGCAGCCCCAGTCGAAGCTACTGACCCGAGCCCCGACGACGACGACACAATCAACGCCCACGCCTAAAACAATACGTACCGATCGTGAAAACCCTGTCAAAACGGATACCGACGCGGTCGAAGCGTTTTCCAAGCTGCGGATCGCCGACCGCACAATCACGACCGAGAGTCTACGGCAAGAGATGGACGGACGCACTTTTATCAAGCTGCAGCACATGGACCGTGTCGGGAAAGACACATTTACGGACGGAGCAGTAGGTCGCCGGTATTTCGGGCACAAAACCACACCTACACACTCGATACTCATCAGTATCAGTTTCGACGGGGTTTTGTGCACGTGATTCTTTCTCACTTGGTGTCTGATTATTTGGTTTGACAGGTCGACTGGGTAACCATAGGAGTGCTGACTCGGAAAACGCTGTCCAAGCCAGCAGCTAATGGGTCCACGTTTATGGTGTGGGGCCTATCGGATCTGGACGGGACCGAACTGGGGATCTTTTTGTTTGGAGATGCCTATAACAGTCACTGGAAACAGACGACGGGCTCCATTGTGGCGGTTCTCAATGCCGTCCTGCTGCCTGCTACAGAGAAGAACAAGTTTGCATTCAAGGTGACGCAACCGGCAGAGGTGGTGAAGCTCGGCAGGGCAGTAGATTTTGGCATTTGCAAAGGAACCACTTCGGGCGAAGCTCGTTGTCGGCTTGCAGTGAACACGGCAAAGGTGAAGCCAGTGAATGGCATTGACAAGTCTTGTAAATTCCAGCACTCATGTTGCTATGTGTTTTTCTACTTTCCTTGTTTGAATGCGGTGGCAGGCACAGTACTGCTTGCACCACATTGCTGCCAATTTCATGCAGGCAGGACGAGGACGTCAGCAGTTGAATAACGCGACGGGAAGTTTACGCAAAACACTCTTTGCTGGTCTTGCCAAGACGAAAAACTTGTCGGCTGGCGTGTACACGTCCGCCTCGTCGAAGTCTGGCAATTCTGGATGGAACCCAACATCTGCGAAGAAACGCAAGCGTAACGATGCTGCAGACGCAGTTTTGGGCGTGCCTACTGTTTTGGCAGCGTCGGGTGCTGTCGTCCAACGTATTCGAAAAGATCCGACACTTTCGACGACAGCTCGTGGCGCTCTTGGCGTCCGTGACAAACGACCATGTGGCACCGTAAGTCTTATGGACCAGCTTCGAGAGCCCGGTGCATCTATGAACCTTGCGCCGAGGCGATTTGATGCCGGATCAGCAGATGCAACGCAACCTTCCAGTCGAGCACAGAAGATTTTGTAAGTCAGTATGTGGCACTGAGCTGCGGATCCGATGCTGACTTTTTCTTCCTTTGCTGTCTTAGATCGGCAGTCATTGCGAAGAATGGGAAACAGCTCCGACAACCAAAGGCGAAGAAGGTGGACATGATCCACTTCATGAGAACGGGATCTCACGTCAGGAAATAGGCGTGACCATATGCGCGGAATGAGCTTTGCTGAATATGATCATGGCAGATTGTACGAACGCCATGAAAGTGCACATGACTACTCATGCTACTGCATCGATTTGCACTGTGGCGAGATGAAGGAGTTGCAGCAAAGTGTGAGCTTTTGGTCTAAAGCTACTGCGCGCTAATTCTACAGACTGATGCTGTGCTGAGTTGGAGCAAGGAAGTCCATTCTGGATCACGTCGTGAGCAGAGTTACGAAGATACTTTTGGATTCTGGATGGCATCCAATGAAGCTATTGAAAGTGTTGGCGAGCTTGGATCGAAAGATGATCATGGCGCCCCTATCAAGTAAGTGTTCGCTGGTAATGACAGCCAGTTCAGTTGTGCCCAAACTAACGATTTCTAAATACACGTTAGTGATATCCACCCGAGCTTCCTTTACGTCAACCGCGACAGCTAAACTTAGGCTTGATCTGGAGATCTGTACAGCCTGCCTGTACCCCTTTCTATTTCTACTCAGATGTCACAAAAGTGCGTCGTTTTTAGCGTGCTCTATCGTTAGGGTGCTTTCGACGCCATGAGCCGGCACAGCAAGAACGCCACGGCCACGACGCACTTCACGTACCGCGAGCGGGAGGCAGCTGACCACGGAACGCTCAAGCGACGCTACGGCCGTGACTCTCAGCTTCCGTTTGGCATGTGCTGTCTCTGCTTGGCGTCCACACGCAGCCGCAATCCCCTCGTGTCGCCTGCTGGGTTCGTCTACTGTAAAGAGTGCATTTACGCTAATCTGTTAGCGCAAAAGCGCGCGATTCAGGATAACGCGACAGCATACGAGCGCTACGTCGCGTCCCAAGCACGGAAAATACAGGATACTGAACAGGACACCGAGCGCAAACTCGTGACAAACGCACTGGAGAGCACGCAAGGTGTAGTCGCTATCCTGCAAACACAGGATAAGAAGCTCGTCGCGTATCAGAAGCTGCAGGAACAAGTGGATCGAGCCACCGACGAGGACAAGCGCCAAGCAATGAGGAAAACAAGTTTCTGGATCCCGGACTGTACGCCTAGTGAAGAACGCCGGGTCGCCGAGCCCGACACAGCCCCTCGCGACCCCATGAATCCCGACCAATTTCTAAAACTCAAGCACTTGATGCCGGTGAAATTCGCGTGGATTTCTAACCGTCTACACGGTGACCAAAACGTGCACCATGTGGTGTGTGCCGTGACAAAAACGGAGATTAATCATCACCAGGCCGTGCTGCTGCGACCGTCTGGTCAAGTGATCCTCGAACGGTGTTTAAACGAGATGGTCAAGCCGACCATGACGTGTCCTGTCACCGGACTCAAGCTCCGCCAAAAGGACATTGTGCACTTGCAAGCTGGAGGCACGGGCTTTAGTGCCCATAGCACTGTTGAAGCGAAAAAGTATCGACCGAGCATGACGTAGATACGTTGGTGGCAGTTGGTTTGTCGCACTTGAGGAGGTGGAGAAAGTGAGTGAGGAAGAACGGGGCGGTGGGACTTTGGTGGAGACTTGCGAGGAGCTTGGATGGCGAAACAGTGGTGGATGAAGGTTAGTGGTAGCAGTTGCTTGGCTGAGCTATGAGTGCTCGCAGAAGAGGTGTCTGAGGATTTGGCGTGACACAGAGTGCTTGGCGATGGCGATCAGTGTAATGGAAGGGACAGCGAAACAACGAGATTGCGTGGATATTAGGATGCAGCTCCGAGTCTTATTGCAACAAAGCGGCTTTGATTAGACGTCCATGTTGGAAAACTGGTCGAGACGATGGGGTGCAACTACACGCTGAGTGCCGTACGCTCGATACAATGCTGCTTGGATCGCATCCGGCTCTTCTCCTTGGCGTAGCAGTTGGCGGATTCCTTGCAGCGTTTGGTCACTCACATCAGCGATAGAAAAGTACGTTGGCTGTTCCTGCTGATCATCCATTGCGCCTTCCAGTTCCTCTAGTGACTTCAGACTGACGGTCTTCTCCAACAGGGCAGAATGGGCTTGACACTCTTCACTTAACCCGCTTTGACCAGCCAAACTCTCTTCCACGACAAAGCACGGCAGGTACTGATCCTGCGCGAGCCCACCTGATAATAAAAAGCGCAATCCAGACATGATCAGATCGTCGACATTACAAAAGTACTCACACTGGCAAGAATGAATAAATAAATAAATGAATAAATAAATAAATAAATAAATAAATAAAGCACAGACACCCACCCTGCTCAATCACCTTCCTCATCAACGTCCGCGCAGCTCTCAAACTTGTGCCAATAAGAACGACCACCTTCGAGTCCATCAACTCCACACTCTCCACCTCGACATGGCTACACACGCGACTTGTGATCCCATGTCGGTATAATAATCCACCTGTCAATAGTGACCTCGAGATAAATTTGCTGCCATTTCCATCGACCTCTGCCACCTCCTTATCAACGTCTGTACCCGATTCGGCCCAATCTGCTACAATCACCACGTGCTTCTCATCGCGATTATGGCAAACGGCAGCAATGAACGTCAGAACCGCTGACATTGGGTTGAACCACACGTCAAATGTAGCCACTACTGACGAAGGGATCATCACTTGGTCACTATGAGGCAGTACTGCCACTGAAGATAACGACGACTGCCCGTTCTTTGACACTTGCGCTTGTAACGTCCGCACGGACGCTATTGTCGACTCTAATGGCGTTTTATCCGGAATTTCCACTTCCATGACCTTTACCGTCTTCCGTATCTCCTTCTGTAAAATAACGTCGAGACCGACTTTATCCCACGCCACGTTCTCGTTCTCGTGCTCTATTCCGCTCCCCTTTTCCCCTATTGGCACGGCCACGATATGGTCAGCGTATCGTCGTCGCGATATTCGAGATAGAGCTGAGTCGATAGGGGCGAGACGGAGTACCCTTTCGGTATACGTACACACCTCTCGGTTGGGATACAGCCGCTGCCCTATCCAATTAGACGACAAGAAACTCCAGACGACTCCGTAACTCCCCGTAATCATACGCAGCGCCCGCACCGACTTGACGAGCACTAGACGCTTGCCTACAGTTGAAGAGCGCGATCCAGTGAGCTCTGTAGTCTGTACAAGAGACGATCGCGCCACGTTTGACGCGGCAGCGACGTGGCGCGCGGATACGGTACTCCATACGGCGCTCGGGAATACGTTTAGAGCAGCGAATGTAACCGCAAATCGTAACGGAATAGGGCGACGCTCTATTGTGAGACACGCTTCGGTAAAACTTAGAGCGAACGTGGCCCCGAGGGCTGCGCCGACGCTATTGAACGCACGCAGACTAGCTGGGTCATTAGCGGCTGTAAAGTCGGTCCGGCGATGCGTGGCCATGCGATGAGAGTGGCACGGGATGTGGTGTATACACGATAGCGCACGCTATTGGTCATCAAAAGAGAGGGCGCTATATGGAATGTCGACCACTCGATAGAGCAGTTACGGTCCGAGTAAAGCGCCAGACCTGCTTAAAGCGATCAATGCGACCAATGCCTCGTCTCATATCAAGTGTGGTGGGTGAAACATGTGCTTTTTATATCAGGCTGATTTTGACATGTGATGGAAACCACCTCGATAGTGTCAACGCTTTAGAAATAGAGTGCGTGATACCTTCGTAGTGACCGAGACTGGACAACTAAGCAGTGGTGTCCATCCAGTCTGACAGTGACCTCGCGACGTCACTCTCTTGACCCTAACAGCATCTTTGTTCGAATGGCTTCGGCCTCAACGAGTGCATTCGAGCATTCGTGTCGCAACCTTCAAAGTTGCAGCCTCTACACTCTCAGTTGTTGACTCTCCGATGAATCTCGCAACAAATACGTGTGTAGACTCGATACGTCGCTTCGTATCCACTTCTGTCCTTGCAAAGGACAAAGAAGCATCACACGAAGACCGTTTGTTTCGACCGTCTGCAGCCGGGCAAGTTGCTGATCTCGTATCGATTTCGACTACGATGCGATGGTGATCAAAGTCTCCAATTTGCATGGAAGTCGGGCGATGTTCTCTGCTACAGCGTTCGCGTCGTTGCTGCCCTCGCCGCAGAGGGAGGTGTAATAGACGAAGCAACTGTACACATAATGCAGGAAACAACATGATAGAAGCGTTTAGCTACAGCATTGATGTGTAAATGTCTGGATGGACGTCACGAGTCATGTGGAAATCGGACTTGAACATGTGTGGTGCCATTATTGACTGCTACCGCTGTCGTCGTATGTATGTGAAGATTTGCTTGATGGCTACTTCCAACGACCTTGTTCGCTTCGGTGTATCCTTTTATCGCCCACCTTCTTCGTCATTTTTGTACGTATACACTTCGCTGGTAGTTCCGTTGCTTAGCAGTCCTCGCAAGAAGACGAGGAGGCACCATACGCTAGGTACCAGCACAGCTACATTTTGTATAGCTTGTGATACGTGACACGGCAAGCTTTACTGTCTATCACGATTGGATGATCAAGACGCGATCCACAAGCCACCCTCATCACCGATGCACCTAATCAATTCAAGGCGTTGCTTCACAAACAACTGTAAAAACGATGCTATCTATCATCGCAACTTGGCTGTAGTTCCTTCAACAAAATGATGCTCTCTACCTTCAGTATTTTCAGTCGTCGCAGTTCATTATATCATCACCATGCACTATACCAGGGAAGGCCCGTCGTAATATCCACGACACTTGGTGTACCCTGATCGTTACCGTTACAGCTTGAAGAATGCAACGCTGCGTGTGACCTCAGAGTTCAAAGTCGGTGTCATTTACCACCTTCCAGCGGTAGACCATCAACTATCGCGTTTGGTACGGTCTGCTCATACATTTTCATGCTTGAAAGCCCATACAAGTCTTTCTTCGCAGCCACTTTCAGCGACAAGAACAAAACAGCTTACTTCTCACCCAAGACGCTGTCCCGGTTCAATTACTCAAATCTCGATTGAACCCATACGCATCGTCGCTTGCTATATCATCACAAACAACATGTGCGTGACGTGGAGCCTCCGTCTGTTTCATTTGTTTACATAAATCGATGAAAGCCTCGACAGAATGTGTTTTTACTTGACGTGCTCGACCCACGAGGCCCGATAGTCCCTCGGCTACATCATGATCACTATTCAGTAGAGATACGACACACCCTAAGGCAGCAGAAAACGGTGAAGTAGCAGCTGCTTATACTGAATAAGTACAATGGATGAGTGAGTATCGTCGAAAGTGACTCGTGAAGTAACCCACGCCTTTCCATGTAGGAGCTTCACGTGATGACGAAACCGCACGTGATGACCAAAAACAGCCGCTACTAGTCAGACGGGAGCTAACAAGACGGTGACGACAGAGCGACGTGGCTTTTTCTACCCTTTTAACACCACGAGGTTTGATCCATACGAAAAGTAAGTGTAAAACATCGACTTACCCACCACCTTCTATGCACCAGCAAAAAAAAAGCTGTTACTTTTGTCGATCAGTCAGTTGAACTGCTACTGCTACTTTTGGACTTGTCGTCCTCTTGTCGAGACGCAGTTCTCCGTGTTTCAAAACGCTGTTTCACCTCGGGCTGCATGACCGACTTGATGCTCTCGACGAGCGCTTTGTCGTTGTTAAGTTCGTGCTAAGTACGCACACATCGCACAATCCAGTCAGTTTTTGACCCCATCTCGAGCATTTATAAATGACGCGTATTTTATTCACTAGTATACATGCGAGTATACACAAACACACACCATGAAGCACTGCGTATACGCCTCGTATTCCTTCGGACACCCCATCACGCCCTGCGCCTTGTGCTGCAGAAACACTTTTGTATACCACTGATCAAAGCACTGGTCGTACATTGCCTTGGCCTGTCTGCACGTCGAGTCGGGCGTAATCTTGTGCGTCGTCATGCTAAAAAGTCGAAATCTATCGTTCGGCACCCGAGTCTCACGTAAAAAATGGTAAACTACGACAACAGAATGAAATTTAAAAAAAAGAAAACACCTTGCATAATGTGTGGTGGAAAAGCCGATCGGTCGCATTTAACCTGGCTGGAGTTAATATGGCTACACTAGAACACGACCGCCCGCCACTATCAGCACGAAGATGATGGAGATGAAGGAGAAAAAAAAAGTAGACAAAAGAACCACTAGCACGAAACTATCGACCGGAATTGCGCATCTGATACGGCTGCGACGTGTGAAACGGATGCGGCAGCTCCTCTCGCTGTAGCTGAGCCGGTAAGGACTGAATGGAGCCTGCGATCGATGGCGTCCCCGTCTGTTCCGACGACACCATGATGTGAAGGCCACCTAAAAGCACTGGTCGCACACGCGCTGAGGCTCCGACAGTGCGAACTTGGGCAACGACACGCGGTTGATCGAGTGCTGGCTGCACACGCTTTGTCCGCAATTCCGGCAATGGTGGCGACGCTTGACGAGGGAGAACCCACAGGCACATACGTGACACATGCGCGACTGCTTCCATCGCGGTGGGAAGGCCATTTTACTGCGAGGGCCTGCTCCTAGACTCCTTGAGCTTATATTGCCATTGCCCCGATTGGTCTTGGCTTCTTCCTGGACGATAAAATTCGACATCAACGTCGTCTCCGCCGGTCCTTTCGACGGATCAAACAGCCCAAGTGGCACCGAGTCTTCAGCTGTTGCAATCGAAATCAAATCGTTCTCACGTTCCCGTAGTCGCTGTTCGGTCAGTAGCGACTTGACGTGCGGGTCACTTCTTGATAGAGTGTACCCCCGATCCCGTTCTCGCTCTAGTGCAGCATCGAGCACGTACCCTCCATACACACTCGTGCTATTGTAATTCGCCCGTAACGGGTCAAAGCGTGCTTCTTCTTGGTCCGAGACACTGCGTTCCAGTCGGCGGTTCTTATGCGAAAGCGACTGCGACTGGAACGAGTGGGACTGGTAATGACAGTGCCGTTGCTGATACTCGAGTTCATCTGCATCCACGTCATCCTCCTCCTCTTCATCGTCATCCCCGATTCCGCCAAAGTACGTCTGATTCTGGTGCGGCTGATACTCCGAGCCTTCCCGACTCTCACTTCCATCCTCCGTCATCCGATGGTGGTGCTCAAAAGACAGCGGGTAGTCAATAGTTTCCCGATTTGGATCCCCTCGCTCGTCCTTGGTCATCCCCCTAAGGTCATGACGATAGAGCGTCCGTCCGTTCGTATCTTCAGATCTCCGACTCCCGTTGGCTGCAGCACGCAAAACTTCCAACGTCCGTTCACTGCATTCCGCTTGGATCGCCAACTCAATGGGCAAATGGCCGGCGTCGTTGCGGACGTGGACAGCATAAGGGTACGCAAACACGACCTTGACCACGATATCCGTCGGCGCGTCTTGATGGAGACAGACCCAATGCAAGATCGTCATGCCGCTCGCGTCCGTGCGCTGCGCGACTTGACGGTTCGCCCGCATGAGGGAGAGCATGGCGTCCCAGTCGCCGTTAATTGCGTGGAGGAAATCGCCATCGTCCATTGTGATCGAGAGTGGGGACGTGGTAGTCGGTCAAAGAATCAACTGAGTGAGTGAGTGGGTGGAGGGGGGTGGGGGGTGGACGATCCCTGAATGACAGTGTCACGGGGGACAAGGACGGTCGGCGTGGTGCACTTGGCCTCCCTCCTCCTCCTCTCTCCCTCCCTCTTCTTTTTCGAACACACGCTTTGCTACGCCTGACTCTCTTAACTGCTCTTGGGTCAGTTGGTTGTTTGGCTTTAATTTGCGACTGTCTGTCTTCTGTCTGTCGGTTTGTTTGTCTTTTTGTCTTTTTGTCAGGAGCTCCTGGGCGCGAAGTAGCGATAAGGGCTTCGATGTGGCTCTTTTGATAGAAGGGGGAGGGACAGAGTCGCAACGAGAGAGTGGCGACCTCTTCGTTACGGCGAGGCTAGGGACGACGGGACGGGATAGACTCGGGATACACACGCTTGGTGGAACTACTTTTTACGAGTGGTGTGGAGAGGGGGAAGGGGTGGAGAGAAGCGACTTATTGTGTGTGGGGGGGGGAAGAGGGGGGCCGAAAATCGGCCGCTCTATGGTCGCTCTTAATTTCTGACCGAGAGTCGATCGTCGTCAGAGCGGATGTAGAGGCGGAACCGCGAAAGTACGTACAGCGGGTTTACTTCGGCACGTTTCTGTGTGGTGGGGGAAGGTCCAAGTGGCACAGGCCTGGCCGACCGACTGCCTTTGTCGGTAACAACAACAACAGCGTTGCACACAAAGGAGCAGGTGCGTGTCTGGTTTTCCACGGCTTGCGAGTGTATAGGGCCACCGGATCTGTCTGAACGCTGTTTTTTTGTCGTTGCGCTTGGCTGGTACACGACGAGTCGCGTTCCGTGCTCCGTACCATTTTAATTTGCCTTGACGCAAGATAACAACTCACTACCGACTAGCGCCGAATGAACAAGGAATGAACAAGTACATAGATAAATGAATACTGAAGTAAAAACGTGTTGTCGTTTTGTCACCCGCGTCGATCTCAGTGTTTGGCCGTTACTTTTTGTGTGTGTGAGTTACGTGCATCACATTAAAACCCATCCACCGATGGACGTCACATTTATGCGTACGCCACATCATACGGTGACACATTGTGTCACCAATCTCTCGCTGGTCGTGCACCAAGCTCACATCTCCGTGTCACTCTCGGGTTTAGTGGCACTAGCGTCAACATGACCGCGGCCGCTGACGTCAGCGCCCGCGTGCACCTCGTGGCCGAGAAACTGCAGCAAAAGGCGCAGGAAGCACAGCGGAAGGGCAACGATACAGCTGCACGTGCACTCAGTGCATCCGTGTCGGATCTGCGCCAGGCGTTGGCGCTTATTGCCGAGCAGCGGCATCTCCTTGCGCGCCGTCGGGGCGAAGGTGACGACGAAATCGTACTTAACGAGGATGACGACGTCGCGTCATCTGTTCACGAAACGGTCGCCCGTCTGGCGCGTGTTGGGACCATGTTGCAGAAAAAGGCCGACGACATGACGCGCAAAGGCAACGACGGCGCAGCAACGGGTCTGGCGCAATCTGCGGCGGCGGTAGAAAAAGGCCGTCTATTGCTGATGGAGCAACAACAATTGTGGTTTGGGTTAGCAGGGCGCTGGGAGAAACTCGAGGACATTGTCGTGAGACAGGGGCAAGGTTGCAGTCGTACCGTAATGCGTGACAAGAAGGACAGAAAAGACGCAATGAAGCCAGAGCAGCTTCTTCGAACTGTGCAACAGATGGTGCAACTTCAACTTTTGGTGACGAACAGTGTTGATAGCGGTAGTGGAGAAGTTGAAGACGTGCGGAAAGAGCTGGAGAAGCTCCACGAAGCGGCAGACGAAGCGGAGACGCTGAGACAGACAGTAGACGATGCTTATCAAGAGGTAGAGAAAGTGAAGACGATGTTGAAGCACAAAAGTGAAGCGCTAGAAGCAGTGGAGCTTGAGATGGACAAGTTGAAGGCGAGAGAAGAGACGAGGCAAGAAGAAGACGCTTCGTTGCTGGACCAACAGCGAGACGCGTGTCAAGCGATGGAGCAGCTCGTGCGCGAGAGTGACAAGGAGATTCAACGGTTGAAGCTGAGTTTAGAAGCAGGAGCAGATGAAGTGGAGGCGTTGAGAGTGGAGATGGAGAGTCTGGCTGCAGAGAAGGAGCGGGTGGTGATGGTGCATGCGGAGGAGGTCGAAGAGCTCCATGAACAGTTGACAAGTGCGATGGATGCACTTTCAAAGAAGGTAGAAGAGAACGAGTCGATGTCCGAGGAAGTCCAGACGTTGCAGAGACAGCTGGAAAGCTTGACGTTGGAAAAGGACAGTCTCGTGAAATCTCATGCTGACGAAGTGGAAGAGCTGCGTCGTCAACTGGAGGATGCCATGGCTTCTCTCTCAGCAAAGACGGATGTCAATACGGAGAACGAGTCGATGTCCGAGGAAGTCCAGACGTTGCAGAGACAGTTGGAAAGCTTGATGTTGGAAAAGGACAGTCTCGTGAGATCTTATGCTGACGAAGTGGAAGAGCTGCGTCGTCAACTGGAGGATGCCATGGCTTCTCTCTCAGCAAAGACGGATGTCGATACGGAGAACGAGTCGATGTCCGAGGAAGTCCAGATGTTGCAGAGACAGCTGGAAAGCTTGACGTTGGAAAAGGACAGTCTCGTGAAATCTCATGCTGACGAAGTGGAAGAGCTGCGTCGTCAACTGGAGGATGCCATGGCTTCTCTCTCAGCAAAGACGGATGTCGATACGGAGAACGAGTCGATGTCCGAGGAAGTCCAGACGTTGCAGAGGCAGCTGGAAAGCTTGACGTTGGAAAAGGACAGTCTCGTGAAATCTCATGCTGACGAAGTGGAAGAGCTGCGTCGTCAACTGGAGGATGCCATGGCTTCTCTCCCAGCAAAGACGGATGTCGATACGGAGAACGAGTCGATGTCCGAGGAAGTCCAGATGTTGCAGAGACAGCTGGAAAGCTTGACGCTGGAAAAGGACAGTCTCGTGAAATCTCATGCTGACGAAGTGGAAGAGCTGCGTCGTCAACTGGAGGATGCCATGGCTTCTCTCTCAGCAAAGACGGATGTCGATACGGAGAACGAGTCGATGTCCGAGGAAGTCCAGACGTTGCAGAGGCAGCTGGAAAGCTTGACGTTGGAAAAGGACAGTCTCGTGAAATCTCATGCTGACGAAGTGGAAGAGCTGCGTTGTCAACTAAATCACGCAATGCTCTCGATGTCGAGGAAGTCGGTAGCATCATCAAATGTTGATGAAGTGCAGGACTTGGTCGAAATAAATGCTGACGAGAAAAAGTGCCTCGGTGGATCACATGCTGAAGAATTTCGTGATTGTCGCAGTGTTTGCGTTGACGAAGCTGAAGAGACTTGCCAAGACCATCGAACCACTATAAGTGGTACTCATGCAATGACCGAAACTAGTACGGGCGATGTGTCGGATGAACTTCGTCTACTGCAGGCCAAGACAGAGGGCTTGATTTCTGACAGTGAAGGTTTGATGAAGTCGTGTGCAGCCGAGGTTGCGGTGCTTCAGACAGCACACAGAGACGAGATTGAAGGTCTCCATCGGCATCTGGATAGTGCTACAGCTTCTCTTTTGGCTAATGTGGAGACAATTGATCTGTCTAGCGCCGATGAATTGCGGAAGCTAAAAGATGATGTACGCATGATTACCATGGAGAAGGACAGGCTTGCCAAAATGTATAGCGAAGAAATCAAGAGGCTAAACGAGACGTACACGGCAGAAGTCGAAGACCTTCGCGATCGGCTTAACAACGGTATGACTGATCATCTTGCTGATTCGGACCAAGGGAACGACCAGGTTCAAGCAACTGACGAGCTGCAGCGCGTGTACGAATTAGAAAAAATGAATTTGCAAGCGGCTCTTGACGTTCTTCAAGCACGGTTTGATGATTACGAAGACGGATACAAAGCCCAGCAAGGCACTATCTCGAGACTGAAAGAGGAGCAAGCTGAATCGAAGGCTCAATTTGACACTCTCGCTGTCGAGAAATCTCAGTTGACTGATGAGCTGAAAAGCTCAAGAGAAGAGGCAATGCATCTGGCACAGCGTCTTGATGCTAGCGAAGGCATTCATGAATCTCTTGTTACAGAACTGGATGATGCAAAGCTCATGCTTGCAGCGAAACTAGCCGAGCAGAACGAGACTGTTGCGACACTTGAGCACTGTAAAGAGGAGCTTCGTACCTGTTGTTCCATGTTGGATGCTCAGAAATGTGAATGTAGCCGTCTGAAGAGTGAGCTTGACGCGGTCCGAGATGCACAAGATGTGAGAAGCGGACTTGCTGGTGAGCACTTGTCGACGCTTACTACCGAGCTGCACGACATGGTCGTTGTTTTGAGGTCCAGTAGTAAACATGGTGGTGATGCACTGCGCGGGTTCATGGAAAGAGGGTGGCAGTCTCCAGAAGCAACCGAGCTATGCAGCGGGCTTGCCTCACTACTATCTGATATAATGTCCGCTCAAGACCAGATACAGTCGATAGAGGAGCAATTACAATTGGCGCGTAGCGATTGCGACAATCAGGCGCTGATCATCGAGCAGTTTTTGAAGACGTCAGATTGGCGGTTGTTTGCAAAGGACGACGAGACAATGGAAGAAGTGAAGGAAGTATTCGATTCTGACGGTGATCGATGTGATCGTTTAGCTGTTGCTAGAACGAACGTCTCACGATGGCTAGATGAACTCGAGCTGCTACGTACCGGCGTCGATGAGAATGTATCAAAATTGAATGCGCTGGCGGACGAGAAGCTGCAAGAGCAACACCGTATGGTGGTTCTTGAGGAATCTGAGCAGAGTCTCCGTGGTCTTGTCAAATCGTTGCAAGAAGAGCTGAGAATGACGAAGGAACTGATGTCTCGCAATCATTCGACTAGTATGGAGGAAGAACAAGAGCAGGTGGCACGTCAACAAAGAGTCGAGATGCTGGAGCAACAGTTAGCTACGACGCGTGTCGACTTTGAGCGGTACCGTGTTCGGTCACATGCTGCACTAAAGAAGATGGAGAAACGCGCTGAGCTTCTGAACAGTATGCGAAAGGAGAACGAGGAACTGTTGAGACAGGTAAAAGAGAGCAAAGAGCAGCGAGAACAGGCCGTTGCTGCTCGTGAAGCCATTGTCCATCGTCTGGAAGAAGAACAGCGTGCACAAGCGATGCTACAAGCAGACTTCGACCACTTTGCGTCGGAGAAAACTCGTGTTATTGCCGAGCTAGAGGAGGAAATCGAGCGACTGGCGTCGGAGAGAGAGCAGATGAGCACAAAAGTTCTGGAATTGACCGTGCAAATGCAGGAGCTAGAAATGGCAACGAAGCAGATAGAAGAGGAGAACGGGCGTATTCGGCAAGCAGAACAGGCCGCTTTTCAGGCTCGTCTTGTTGCTACGACATCAGCTGTTGAAAGTGCCAAGCAGGACTTGGAAAAGACGCGTAATGCATTGGAAGTGAGCAAGGCGGAGAATAGAAAGCGGCAACAGCGTATTGAATCATTAGAACTGATGCTGAAGAACCAAAGTGACGCGAAACTTCCGACGACGACGGAGACCACGTCTTCTTTCAAGTCAGTCGTCCCTCCTCCCGCGGAGGTTGTGCCTTCAGTTGCATCACCGTCCGAAGTGAATAGTAATGCGTCTATTCTGGAACAGGAAATTCGTGGACTGAAAGCTTCCGAGGTTTCTCTGAGGAAGCACCTGGATGACGCGCGAGCAGAGTTGGCTACTTTACAAGAGCGTTTTGCTACGACAAAAGCTGCGAATGCAGAGAAGGTGTTTGCATTGCAAGAGCAAAGCAGTCATTACAAGATGGAGTTAGCAGCTGTGACCGAAGAAGTACAGCGTCTTACTGCAGTGATTCAAGCACAAAAGAGGGAATCGACGTCGCATGAATCGATCGATGGTCCTGCACTGTCAATAGTCGACAAGCGGAAGGAAGACGAGGCGACTGCAGTACCGAAGCATGAAGACTTTGACGAGATCCGGGCGCTAAAAGCAGCGCTAGCAGATGCGAATAGTGAAATCAAGTTATTGACAACGGCGTTGGCTGATTCCCAGGAAGAGCTACAGGAAGCACAGAATGTACTTCATCTGTTTGCCCCCTCGTCGATAGAGTCAGAGAATAATGACGCTCCCAGTGCAATCATCAAGGCAGCTCAAGTCCTGTCTGCTAAGGAAGAAGCGCTGAAGAAGATGCGAAAACAGGTGTTTGCGATGCAAGAGGAAGTTCAGACCCTTCAGGAAGAAAAGGCAGCTCTGGAGCTTCAGCTGGAAAAGAACGAATTGAATGCACTCCAGGTTCGACGAAACCAGATGCAAGTGGAGAAGGGACGCACGATGCAGTTGCAGAAGCGACAGGCTCAGGTAGTAGAGTTCGAGAAGCGAGTGGCGACAATTGTGGACGACTTGCAGCAGCGACTAGAGGACCACTCCCGTGCGTTCCGTGACGTATGTGACTTTAGTGACGAGCACCGGGCAGCAATATTTCCAACAAGTGCGGGACAAGAAAGTGATGAGGCTCGAGTTGGACTGGACCGAGTGAGTGAGCCAGAGTTTGAAGAGTGTCTCGTGATGCGAAGTGGCGTGGTGATTAAAGCTGGCGCTAGTTTCCAGCTACCGGTTATTTGCGAGAAGAGCGGGTGGCGGGTCGTCTGGAGTTTCTCAGTCAAGGAGGAGACAGCGGATGTCTCGTTTACACTATGTGCACTATCGTCAGACGATGCAATGTCGAGTGAGGTTGAAGTTGTACCTCTCGAGCGAACGAACGAGATGTCCGGAGTGTTCCACGTGCAACACGACAACACGACGCTCGTGTATAAATGGGACAATTCGTTCGCCTGGCTGCAGGAGAAGACGTTGGACTATCATGTCTCGATCCAGGAACAGCTGTCGCCACAGGCGCAGACGGTCCGACGGACGGAGCGTGAACTGCAAGCGAGAGCGAAAGTACTGGCCGATGGCGTAGCGTTACTTCAGACTGAAGCCCACTGCCGCGCCGAGCTCGTTGCTACATTAGAGCGACTTGATGAGTGTGAGGCGAATAAGGAACTACAGTTGGCGGAATTTGCGAGTCGCAAAGGGGATGGATTGACACACAAGACACGGTTGGATAAAGAGCGCGAGGCGCACAAGGCACTGTATGCTAAAGTGTTAAAGGAACAAGACGAGCTCGAAGATGTCGAGCGTGGCCTCGTTCGAGCATGGGAGGCTGCTGTCGCTGAGCGAGAAGATGCCGAGATGACGTTGCAGCTGACTGGTAATGGAGTTCAGTTAAAGGAACTGGCTCGTGAGATTCACGAGCAGGCAAAAGTTGTGGCTATAGAGCTCGAGCAGGCCGCCCATGAGGGAAAAGACACTGCAGATGAGAGCAAGGAGAGGGAAGGGGAGATCAATTGCGTTCTGGACGCTGAGAACGACGTGCAGGTGTTGGAACCAGAGGACGGTGGTAGCAGATTTGTACGTGATGTTGGAATGCAAGCGCATGAGCAGTGAAGTATCTGTATCCTGTTGTTTCGTTTACTACTATGTGTACGTGGCGATTGTTTCGAGCGTTGAGCTTACTTTACAAGACCGATGTCGCGTGATTGTAGCACCTGCTCGATTCTGAACGCACTTGGGGTCTTGGCAACTCTATCTGACTAAATTAAAGCCACCAAGAAGCCAGCGCTGCACTACCGCGACTGCCTCTTTTTCCCGGTCACTTCCAACAACAGCGTGGTGATGAAAGGCGCTGAAGTAACCCTTACGTTTGTATCGTTGGAACGAGACCTGAGAGTTGGGGGTGCGGGTGACCCCAGATTGCGCAAAGACGTGGAAATGGCGCACTTGTCATGGTCACACAACGCACTTCAACGTGCTTGTTGCCGTCGCTTCAACATCGGAGTATTGTCCAATCAGCGTCTCGACATGTCCTCCTGGACCACCAGATCGTGCGCGGCAACTGAACCTTTGTGCACATAAAAAGAACTGACCGCGCTGTGGTGCGCTTTGAAGAGGCAGTAAAGGAGTCACGAAGACAGCAGCAGTTTGTGGACACTAAAGTTGCTGGACGACCTTGTCTCAACTGGACGGTTTTTACGTCGTCAAATGAACAAGAAACAGATGGCGAGCCAAGAGCTTCCGCAACGAAAGAAGCTGCGAGTGAGGGCAACAGCCGCGACGGTTTCCTGCGGCTACGGAAGCGAGCAGCAGGCGAGTGACATGGTCGAGACGGCGGAGCGAGAGGGGGGAAGAGAAGAAGAAGAAGAAGGGAGACGAGGACGAAGAGGAAGAGGAGGGCGGCAGAGAGTCAGCAGACAGGACGGACCTGTCGTCAGGTGGTGCGGTTAGGCGTCAGACGAAGCTGATGGACTTGGAGCAACATGTGCGCAACTTGGAGCGGGACAATCTGCACCTCAAGCAAGCGTTGTTGCAAGGGACAAATGGTGCAGGACAGACAGTGTCCGGCGCTGCTGCAACATTAAGCCACTTGGCCGGCAGACGAGACGCGCCACCCGCGTTTGACGCCATGGACTTGCGTGCCAGTTCAACTGCAACTGCGCAGCGCCTATTGGCTGAACGCACGAAAGTCGTGACTGAGATGGTGAAGCAACTTAACGCCGCGTACCTAAGTCTCAGTGACGCGTCTCGTGTGTGGCACAAAGATTGTCGCATAGGGGTAGGTGTTCATGAGTGGGACGCATTCGGCCGACTGGAGACCATCAGTCTGTGGAACATGATCCGCTCGGTGTTTACGAACATTGCCATTGACATTGTCGAGTTGCGACCGCATGTCGCAGACGGGGAGATGATCTTGACCAAGTGGCGCGTTCAGGGCGAAATCGCATCGGCCGAGTGTTTGGAGAGTGTTTGTGCCTCGGAAGACTGTCCAGCGACGATGCGCGTGGCGCTCTTGGCGATCAAGTCGTCGGATCTGACGTTTACGGTCACGACGTACGTGGTGTTTCAGGACCTCCAGATTGCCGAGCAGTATCATAGTTGGGACCAGGTTGGCGTCTTTAAACGGCTCTTTGGGGGCGAGATTCCACTCACGGTACGGAATATGCTGGTCATTGATGAGGATACTATTGCTGGTCGCAAGCAACCGCTTGACATGTGAAAGAATGGCATTGCTGGAGTGTGTGTGTGTGTGAGAGTCTTCGGATCTTGGCACCCAGTTAAGGCAGGCAGTTTCGTGCTGCTTTTGACGTTCAGGTACACACACCTGTGCTTGTGGTCGTCACCCTCTAGCTACACGTTGATTATCTTTACGGAAAGGACGGTTCGAGGGTGATGATGCAGTTTCACAGGATTTAAGGACTACTTTGACATTTAGGGGCTGGATATGCGGGACGACGGCAAACGTTGTCGTTGCGGCAGCGTGTATTTATCTCATCACCCAGCTCTGATTGGCAGTTTCGTGCTACTTTTGACATCGAGATCTACCTAGCTCTTCAATGATCACCTGAGCTTGAACTCTAGCTCAAGGCTGGTGATGCAGTTTCACAGGATTCAAGTCCCTCTCGTCTTTCAACTTGGACGTGTGGGACGATTGTTTACGCGCTGTCCTTTTGGAGTTTAAACTACAACTGCCTACTGAATATCCTCTCGGACGACGTCCCTGTTGAACTCCCATTGTCTTCTACCAGACGAACGACTTCAGACGTGACTCGATACGAAGGGCCTACGTCCACGATCAGCTCAAGCACCGTTTGTTTTTTTGGTGTGGCAGCCATGCAGTTTCGGTATGGAACATCATTTACAGTGCGCGCATAATCACAACGAATACGCCTATTGAGGGCCTATTCAGGCTACCGAACAGGATAAGCCTTGCGCTTATGAGTGTGCTAGTCGACACTAGAACAAGGTGCAAGGTCGCATGGACAGCCTTGTGTCCATTCCACAACGAAAATGCATTTTGAAAGCTAGAAGCAGCCGCCAGTAGACAAGGCGATGATACTTTACGACTGCCACTTTCTACCCCACAAGAACTAAAACGACGTGTCGTCTGCTCAAGACAGTTTGAATCTGGACTTTCTTCTGTCGAGACCATTGGGACGCCTCCTCTTCTGCCGGTTGATGACTCAAGGCCACGCACACTCCAACTCAATCACCGCGGAGATATGCATTATCGTAGGACGTAAAGTGGTAAAGGGGCTTATAGTGACCACCTATCAGGTGCCCTTTATTTATAGTTAGGTATGCCGACTGGAAACGAGTGCTCGACACGGTGGTGATGTGGCGCTGTGTTTCAAGTTAGGCTATCTGACATTCTCTATACTGTCCGTATCCCTACTGGAGGCGAATCGATCGGATGCGAGGTAGCCGAGCTTGTACGACCGTTCGTACACAAAGTCTTGCGTGCCAATGGACGACGGCGGCAACGTGACCACCAACAGACGTGGAATGACCGACACATTGTCACCGGTACGTGACGCACTCGTCGATCATGTCCAAGTGCTTGGTCTTCCGCTTGCAATTGGTCCACATGTGTCGGGTGAGTGGGACGCTCTTGCCGGACACAACTGTACGCACAGCTCGTCGGTCGTTCAAAGTGTCCGGAATATGCACGGGTGGGATCGCCATGTGGCGCATGTGACTGAGACTGAAGCGCGTGAGCTTGATCGGGTGCGTCTCGAGGATCTTTTGCTTGAGCACGCGCACGTCTTCGGGCAGCTCAATCGGCGTCGGGTGCGAGTGCCGACGGAAGCGAGAGCGCTTCGAGAGGCCACGAAGAGTCTTGGCTTGATGACGGGGCTCGGACCGACGGAGATAGAGCGGCGCGATCCCTGGCTGCACTCCCATGACGATCGAGTGAGTGAGTGAGTGAGTGAGAGGAGAATAGCTCAAGGCTTCTAGTGCCCGAGCAGGTAAGTTAGGGAATGCCCGAGGAGGTTCGATGATGAATCCATCGGGTCTAAAAAGGTGACGAGGCAGTTCGGTTGAGCCCCGCTTTGTCTACGCCCACCCCACCCCTCCCCTCTCCTCTCCTCGCTCCCTCCTTCGGCGAAATACTGAGCGTGCAAAAAGACGCGGCCGTCAGCCAATTGGGACTTCAACGCAGCCGCACAAAAGAGCGACTGGACCAGGATGGGACGCCAGTCACCTGTCTCTTTTGCTGTTCGCCTCCTGAGCGACAGCACACAGACGTAAAAAAGGTGCCTGCGACAAGGGCCGTTCGAACGCACTCGCTCGCTCGCTCTCTCTGAGCCGTAGCCGGTTTCAAACCGCTCCTACCTCACGTCTTCATCGAGACGTGGTCGGTAAGAAACGATGCCGCTGTCCTACCAGCGTGAAAAAAAAATCACGCTCACTCGTGTCCAGTCGTTTATTTTTTCCTGAGTTGAATATTACAAGCCAGAATTAGACTGAGTTTACGTATCGGACGTGGCCCCGGGCGTGCAAATGTCCGACCGGAAAGCGTAACGGCGTCGTGTTCGGCTCTTTTCGTACGCACGCACGCACGCCCCAGCTCGACTCGTCGCGTTTTTCCTTCTTCTTCCACGTTCGCTCTTTCTGCCTTTTCGACTGTCTCATGTCGCGGCCCATCTGCCTCCGTACGTCGTGACCAAGCAGCCACGCGGTCACAGAATCTTGAAGCTGGGGGGACGACGACGTTGTCGCAGACGAAGATTCGCCGAAGCAGCGGCAGCGTCGCGTCGTGCTACTTCACGCGCGGCCGTCGGCGTGTTTTTTAGTCTTTGAAGTGACGTTCGACTCGAGTTTTTACCACGGACTTTGTATGCTGCAACTTACATGGTAGATGCTCACTCCGACGTGGCAGATAGAGCGTTGACTTGATGAATAATCTTCGTTGATCGGGCAATTCAGAACTTCAAGGCGGCCTTCGTCCGCTTGAATCACGATCGACACAGTCGTGCGTTTGTTGTTGGCTGCCTGCCGTATTCCTCCACTCGCGTTGTGCAAACATGACTTGGTGCTTGCTGCTTCAAAGTCAGACGGGAGTACGCCCAATTCTTCCTACTTTTTGAGAGGCGATGCACGGATGAAACCCTCTAAGCAATCACTACCGTGCTAACTATCGAAAATCGAAGTTACCGCGTGCGTGAGAATAGCTTGCACACTCATTACACTGTGCAGCTGCGCTTGGAAGGCCAAACACATCGGCAATCACTGCGTACACGAGTCCCACCTTGCGTGTCTGCTGCTTGTGGTCTTTTTTTCTCATCCCGCTTCTGGCTCGTAGCAAATTGTTCGGTCGACATTACCGGGCGTGTCAACCATCCTCTCACCCTACATGGCTGTTAAGGTTCCATCCACATCATTCGTACCAAATTCGACATTCGAACGCGTGTTTCAAACCGTTAACACCAACAACACACAGATGAGAGCTGACGATCTACTGAATGTTGTAACAATAATCCGATTGAAAGCCGAAGCATGTTGGTGTTAAATAGTTAATCAAAAAGGCTAACGTTCTAGTGCCACGAGCCCTCGTCTACGATCGACGAGTGCTACTAGACTGGACTCATGAGGGTATTTTTTTTATTTCTGTCCTTGGCACTGGGGGTCTCATCGGAAGAGAGTGCAGTGGAGTGGGTAGGACTCGGAGATCTGCTCCATGTGGTGGGTCTTGCGCTTCGTGTTGTTCCACATGCACCGCGTGAGTGGGACACTGCGACCAGCAACGGTCGTCGAGAGAGCTCGTTGGCTGTCCATCTCTCTGGGGATCTTGACGGGTGGGACAACCACCTTTTTCATGTGGCTCAGACTGAACCGCGTGAGTTTCACCTTTGTGCGTCCGCAGGATCTTGTCTTTCAGCTGCTGGGCCTCTTCCGGCAGCACCACCGAGTACACTGGTTGCTCCGGGTGGTGGTGGTGGTGGTGGTGGTGGCGGTGGCGACGTGAGCCGTGCTTGCCAGCAGGTTGCAGCCCCTCACGGGGTTTCGTCAATTGCTCCCGCACATTAGGCAGACTCAGTTGAGGTCGCACTCCCATTGCTGGTAGGTGGATGAAGTCGCTCAATGGAAAAGCTCTGAGGCTGACCGGGTAATTTGGATAATGAGCTGCTCGGTCAGGTCTGGAGTCCCGAGAAAAGTGACGGGGCGGCCAGAGCTGCAGGCTTCGGAGATAATCACTGATCGATCACACGGTATCTCCGGAGCCACCTCTTCGAGGCCTTGCGCACCACCAGTAACTTCCAAACATGTAGATCCTTAGACAGGACAGAGTAGGACGTAGCAGGAAACTGCCGGAGCTGCTTCCGCTCGTCTCGTTACAGAAACGAGCGACTACTTGGGAATTGTAAGGGCCTTCTCATCGAGGTGATTAGAAGTCGGGCGCGAGGATCCAGAATGCCACGTCTCTCGCGACGTGCGTCACGCTTCGAGCGGGATCAAGTCAAAAGGCACTTGATAGGACGTCGCGATGGGTTTCAACGACCAGCAATCGCACGTCGACTGTCGCATGGGGTCTTCCAATCAAGCATGACATGGCCCAGGCCGGCGTGATCATTGGATGAGCGGACGCCAGGGGTCCAGGACAAGTGGACGCCAGGGATTCCAGGACATTCTTGTGAAGGCCAACTGGCTGGCGGGCGGGCTGACATCGTAAGGACTAGCACTCACACGATTGTAAGTTTAGAGCATGTAGAGAGTCAACTCTCACTATTCGGTCGAAACGGTACACATAGAAAAAGCGGGTTTAGCCTGCAAAGTTTGCTCGAGTCTGCAGATAGTGTCGAGTAGCCAGCGTCTCTAGCCACTGCGTGCGTCTAGGAGCGTTTCGCCTCTGACTGACGCATTTCGCGCGTCATCTCGGACATCGAAATCAGTTGCCGTGAGCTGGACGCCACACCGGCCCTAGCTGACCACAATAGACGAGTCGACGAAGCAGTAGGACGAGACGTAGTGGACGCAATATAGCGAATAGTTTGCTGACTTTTTGCTGTCAAGTGATCGTCGTCATGGGGTCGACAATGACAAATGGCCTTAGTAAGGAAGCGAGGCATACTTCTACAGCTTACTAAGTTCTCTCGGAGAAGCTGCAGTAGCAGCAGCAGCAACGTCAGAGCTTTTCGACTCGATCCAATGCGACGACATTTTACAGCAAAAAATTCTATTTGAAACGGGACTTTGGTGACTTGCGGTTGACCCAGAGTGCCATGACGCAAGACGTCATTGAAAATGCAAAGAGACGGGGTAGTTGCAGACACGATCGTGCGTGTACGGCCCGAGGTCTGTCGTTCGTTACAGACTTTCCTGCAGTCGTATAGAAGAACTTTAGCGCCGCGGTGTCGTTCCAAGTCTTGGCATTAGGGCGGTCGTTGACTGGTTTAGGACGCTGTTAAGGGGTGATTGGGACACCATTAGACCGCCGTAAAACCGCTTGGATCAGCCCCACATGTTAACCGTGAGGTCAGTTTGCAAGCGTGGCTCGATCGGTTAAATAACCGGTCGATGATCGAACATGCTGGTATCATTCATGACCGATGAGTTAATGACATGAGAGTGATTTTCGGTAAAATAGGTGCTTCTTTCAATTTAGAAAGTGTTAGAAATCGCTCGACTCTCCATGTTAGAAACGTCACATCTGCTCTTCTACAAGCGCTTTTGGCCAAGCTTAATCGCTCGCCCAGTACACGCAATTGCTCGCACAAGTAAAGCATCAAATGCGGGTCTACGTAAGTGCAGCCATTCATGCCGAAAGCATTTCGGATCCCCAGCTTACGAGGTCATGGCGTAGAAAGAGTCAAAACACCTTGCGAAAGATAATCATCATAAAGGTGGCTAGTGCGTATAAACACTCGCTTCTCATCATACTTGCTAAAGCTGCTGTCTATACAGCTTTTCTGCTGATAGCAGCAGCCTCAAAGAGATCCGCTGCAACCGGTGCTGTAGCATTACTTAGTCTTGCTCGTTTCAGCAGCTGTGTCCACTTCCTCATCCTGTAAACAATGCGCTGCAACAAAGGAGTATCAAATGTACATTAAGATGATTTTGCCACTTGTGCTTGTCGTTAAAAACGCTGGCTTGGTCACAGCCTGGGTCGCTTCGCTGATTCATCTCAACGTGGTGTACAAAATCAGAGAAAGGGTCAGCTGTTACTGCTACGCACTTAAGCTGAAGGTGTAGGCTAAAGGAAGTGATCGATTCTAGATGAAGTTGGCAAAATGCAAAGTGAATATATTTAGGTCCTTAGTTCACAAACTCCTATTGCTAGTCTAAGCCTACTGAATTCTTTCTGCCTATACGTTAGTAATCGCCACATTGCGCATTACTACTGGTATAGAGCAGATTAGTAATCGCCACATCGCGCATTACTAATCGTCTAGTCGCACATTACTAAATCTAGGCGGTGTGTTTCTAACAAACACCTAAACTTACTAAATGTGGGGGACGTCACTGTCTGGCAGGACAGTGCTGGTGAACCCCGGCACACCAGTACCCGAAGGTATTAACTTTTATTGCAGTCACTGGATATCGAACCAGTGACCTCTCGTATGGTGCTGCCACACCATACCACATGAGCTACGTGCATCTTACAAAATCAGCCTGCCGAGGCGTTTGTTTTGCAACATAGGCAACGGTAGCATCTGTAAACCAGCTCCAAAAATCAAGCAGCCATGGGCGAAATAGCGGTACGATGGATGAATTAAGCTGCGTACGACTCGGTAGCCTTGATGACAAAATACCAACGAAGTTCGTTCTGAGCTCCCTTTGAATTTCTACATCAACACAGTCGTTTACTGTGCGAAAGCGTTCGATCCAAATCAGGAAGAAGACAATCGCTGGCTAGATTTAAATCAATCGCGAACTCGTTCTGCGCCTCTGGGCCTCAATTTGGCTGCTACTCTACGCACTGCCGCCACACATGCTCCAGAACCTCTTTCCAGGTGTTTCTACTAGTCATAACCTTACGGGTATTCTACTGAATCTCGGTCGACCATGGTGCTGTGATGCGTTCATTGTTGACAATATTCTGCTTTGTCTCGACCATCGCAGGACATGACTGAGGTTATATCAAGAACGATCTGGCCGTGAGATGGACGAGCCGCTGGAACTGCATGGCTCACCTTAGACATTGAATCATCGTTTCAGAGCTCGAAGTCAGTGAATCTCTCGTGCCATTACAGCAAGCCTGCAAGCTTCGTGCTGCGATCGATCCTAGCCTCCACCTTGACCTTTTCGCTGCGCTTATTCCACGTGGAAATCTTCAACAATGTCCTGTTGTTTTGTAGGAAATGGTCGCTCTCGCATTCTGAATGTTGGTGTGCACAAAGTGTTCGTTGAGCAGGTCGTATAATGCATCCTTTGGTGACATGTACATTGCACGTATGCTGGCAAGGTCTCGACAGGTATCAGTAGGTCCTTTCTCCATGACACAAGAGCAATGTAGTCAATACGACCTTGTTCGTTTGTTGAAGCGCGCTGTGTATCGCTCGATGTAACGCTCACAGAAAAGTGCACTGCAGCAACAAACAAACTTCTAGCAGCACCCAGCTGTAAAGTGAACCATATACCAAAAGCCTTTGGTAGCATGGAGCTAGCTTCGTGCAGAAGATGACGCGTGACTCGTACCAAACTTATCATCGGAAATTGAGCATCCTAACTATCCTAGTTTGATACGAAGTTTTTTCTTGGCTAGTACAATTTATGTACGCATTCTGTGTACCCTCTCGCGTTTTGCGTGGTTAGTTAGCTGTGACTAGCCTTGTTTTATGAACCCAAGAAGCGCTGAAGATGTCGTCGTGAGCTTTCGGCTGCGGTACGGCATCGTATCTGTTGGCATGCTGAACAAATTTCAAGTAGGATCTATGCGACTGTAAGCTTGTTTGGTACTTAAGACATGCTCGAATGAGTAATATTGATTGAGGCAGAGTCGGTTTTGATTGCAATGCTTTGTGGTTCAGCATTCAAACGAGATTACCCAGCGATCTTGGCTTCGGCTTCCTCCGGTGATCACTGCTATTTTCTCTGGAATATGTGAGAAGCCTCTTGTGTGAAGTCGGCTCGCATTCTTCTTAACATTTCTGGTTGTCACAGGCGAACCGCTCGAACATGTGCAGCATTGGCCCGCGTTTTCAGCAAAACTCAGTTTGTTCTGTACGTCTGACTATTTCGTAGTGTGGCCTAGTATAAACTACGTACCTGCAATGAGGTATAGTTGCTGATAGCATAAAAGGCTGCGCGGAACTTGCTCGAATCACTTGCATTCAGGACGTCAAAAGGTGACGAGCTCTCATGCAGTGGTAAACCTGGACGTGGCTACAATTTTAGATCTCACGATATCAGGATCTGCCGTCTGGCAGACGGCATGTAGCGGAAGTGCGAGAGCGTGAGATTACTGACAGCTGGAAACAAGTAGTTGATGTATCCTCTCCTACAGCCTAAGCAAAGTTATTCGCACTGAGCAAGCACTCTAGCGATAGCACGCACGCATGCACACATCTACCTATCTGTGCTGGTTACTAAAGCTAACTGAATCGTGTAAAGTGACGTTCTAGTTGGAGATTGCTACTCAAATAGTTCTAGTGACTATTTCCGACATTGTTGACGCTTACATCGCGCTCGTTCCGCCTCCTTACGTCATAGATTTCCCCGATAGTGACGAGTAGCTCTTTTGGGGTTGAGAGACGTCGTTTCTCTGCTGTAAATATGCATGTGACATCGTATCACAGCACCTCGTTGCGTTTGCGCAGATGCAGCGATGCATTCGCAAGACTTTCAAAATCGGTATCGCATGTCTGAGAGCTACATACAGTTGATTAGCGCACTTAATTTTGCATGACATCATATCTAACCCCGCTGCAGACTTGTTGTGAAAATGTGGCGAGATGCTTTCAGATACGCTGATGCTTTGAGTAACATTTTCAGCATGTTAACAGCCGAACGAACAAGCCTGTTATAACGAAACGTAATAGAAAAGCGGACACTTACTCAGCCGGGGCGCTCTCGAATGGTCTCACTCTACACATCTTGTTAGAATGACAGAGGTGCGAGTATCGACTACTTTTCAAGCATGACCTAGCCACGAAGGAACTGCAAGACATGCATGCTCAGCTAATATAGCTGGCTTACCTCCAATCAGTCTCACTTCAGGCCGAACAACTTGCATGCTGTGTCATTACATCCATGGCAAGATGTGGGAATTCGAAGCACAACAACGTAGGATCCTACGGACTGCAATACAGAATCTCTTTCCTTGTATACAGTTAGGAGTTTTATAGTAGTGAGAACTCCGGTACAGGTCAAAATCGTCCACGAGTGCTTTGGTCGTACAGACGGCTCAAAAATACTTACTTGACAAAGTTAGTGTCGATCGCAGTAGGATTGATGTACCATGCACGAAGTCAGACGTAAGCTACTACTATTTCGACTCTTTGCGGAGTGATACAGTCCACACTTAAGCATCAGAGGCTTATAAATAAAGGCACCCCATTGAACAGCGTTAGGACAATTGTTCTGACCGTATTTTTCGATAAATTACGAGTCTTCGGTTAGACTGCTAAAAAATGTCTGATTTCCGTACGAAACTCAATGACATCTGGTAGCACTCGTACTCTACCTAGCGACAGCTTTGTTTCATATATTCACGAACATGACTTGCCCTATAGGGGGTTCCGAGAGTCTTTTTCAAGACATTGCCGTCACGGCGTGTTGATCTCGATGTTTTATCGTGACAGTGTAGCAGTAAGAATGATAAACAATATCAGCTACGTCTATTGCTGCACAAGGGACAAGTTTGGACCGTGTCATGAATCCACGTTGTCCGTAAATGTGACAACAAGCAGATATGGGTGATCTCGTATGCGAGCGGAGTCTCGCTGATTGTACAAGCAGGCAATAACAAAAGCTAGTTGCTTTTTGTATCACAGGGTGGCTGGTGATTCAACATCATTTTACAGAACGTTTGTACTGGTAAAAACTGCATCTCGTTAAATTGTACTACTAACAATCTACGACAAATGGTAGCGTACCATCCTCGTAGTAAGGATGATGCGATCGTTATGACACTCAAGCGAAATGTGTACTCGACTCCACTATCGTGTATCAATGTCGACTATTATATCAAACAATCCAAGCTCGTCATCACACTAGCAATAGTAGCAGCAACGGTAAAAAGCTCTGGTGCTACCTGCAACAGCAACATCCGGCCTCTTTTTCCACTCATAGTGCCATCACCAAGAGCAAACAAATCTGTATGAAGCTGCATATCACTTGCTGCCGATATAACACTAGAAAAGGTGCCACTACACTAAGAATGAGTGCATTTGTAATTCTGTATCAAACGCATGGGCTTCACTTGGTACAAAAAGACCTTCACAACCATCTATCACCCAAAAAACAGCACCTGCCTTGCTGGGTGCTTGAGGATCGTGATGCACACCCTCCATCACGTTCACTGCTATCCGGCAAGTGAGACACATACATATCTGCAGCTGTCAGCACAAGTCGAATGAATCCTATAATCCGCGACCAAAGCTATGCATTATTTCATGGGAAACGTTAATCCCCCCCAGGTTTTAGCTTACCACCCACCCAATAAATTACCGTAATTTACTCGATTTGCGCCATCTGATTGGTAATATCGAGAATATGACCAGTCTCAGGAGTATTTTACAATCTCATTTAAAATGGTTAAAATTGTAAATTTCGAACATTCTGTGCATGTCTTAAATCGGCGACGAGTGGTAATTTATTATTCAGCTACTTCATTTGAGCGAGCCATCACTCGGTCGAACAAGAATATTAAACAAGCGATTGCGAAACAGGTTGGTCTTGTAGCAATTACCCAGCTTACCTGCATGTAAACGTACAAGCAGGTACACCACATCACGGCTTCATGAGCTGCTTCAACATCAACAACAAACAAGACGATGCTGGCTACAGCACAACGTATTTGTTGCGTCTTCCTCACTGGCTTCTACCGCTTCCGCACCCCGGTTGTCATGTCTGGAGTACCACTGATTAATCTCCACACTGTCATCCCCTAAGCGGCGTGATGCTGCCCTACCTTCATTGCCTCGCGACTACGTTGGTAATTTAGGTTACCATAGCGGTACCATGAAGTCGTGCCGGCTTGACAATTATTCTCGCCAGCTTCTTTCACGCGCGAGCTCATATTCTTGGTAAAGTGCAGCAATGACAGTGCACTCACGTGCAAGTGCTTCAGTTTTTCTCCGGTATTGCTGATCGTGTCCGCATTTCTACATGGCGCGGGGGCACGACCACAGCCCTTGGCCTTGGAAACCATGTCAATCTTCTCCATGGGGACAGCGTATTCATCCTCTTTTGGTTTATCCACCCTGTGGACCATTTTGTAAAACAGACCACACTGCTGTACCATATCATCATAACGGCCCTCTCTCTGCAACACGTCCTGCATGAAGTATTAGATTTTAGTCTGCATTTAGAGACGTGGACAAGCATTGTGTAACCGAGGTGATCGTCATGTAAATCTTGCCAGAGAGGCGCTGTAGAGTAGACACAATCGATGCCTTAGTCTCAGGATCAAAAGAGCTTGGGGCTTTTTCGAGCAGCAATAGACTCGTCCGACGCCAAAGAAAACGAAACTAGCAGATACATAACGCTTGGGATGCGATTATTGTGTTGGGATTTGGCGCCAGTATTTAGCAATGTGACGTCTTATTATGTCCAACTAAAAAATGGAAAGTGTATTGATTGATGCAATTTATAAGGGATGGTGGATGATTAACATAAACCTGGGGTGGTGGTTTACGTTTCCTTATTTTTTTATGCAGCAATATTTCGTAGCTTTCAACAAAACAGATTGTGACTGACCTTAGCTTGAACCCAGCGGACCTACAAAAACCGGTTTGGACATGCCTTCTTTTGGTAGCTCTTCCTTTACCAGTCGATAGATACTATCACACTACGACCAACATCTCGCATTTATGCTGACCGTCAACTTAAATACGATAGGGGAGCAAGCTCTTTAGTTTGCCCCTTTATAAGCCTTACAGTCCATAGAACCAAATCAAATTGCAACAATACTATACAGCAGAAGTCACTGGAGAATGAGTATGGTGTTAATGTCTGGATTGACCTAGTACAGTTGGCTGGGTGAACGCGATCGGCCTTCGCTTATGAGCAGCCAGTATTTCCTTCTGTAATTTTATTCACCTTTGGTCTATTTTGAGAGAGAGAGAGATTTCATGACAGTCTATTAACATTTACCTATGTACAAGATGTCTGAAAACTCTGGAGCCAGGACAAGAGCTCCGGATCCGGTAGCTTGTCGTAGCTGCTTCCTGCGAAGACCACCTCATCCCGCGGTTCGAGAGTGAAGAGGTCAAGACAGGCATGTAAGAGAGCCCCGGCGACGACTGTGTCGGGACCACGATGTTCGCGTTTCGCTAACGCGCTGAGATGCCGAATCCCCACCTTCCAAAAACGGGTGACGCTGTGAATAACTGTCGTCCGCACACCTTGAAATACTGCGTCGTTTCGTTCACTCCATAAGTGAGTTAAACAGACGCTACAAATAATAATTCATATGCAATTCCAAACCATGACCCCTGCTTCCAAGTCGTCTTGTAAATGTTCATGTAGGCGTTGTCGCTGCCTTGCCGGTAATGCAGGAGCCTGACGATTCACACTGCCAAAATACCAGGTCTCATCAACAGACCTCACATCTCGGAGACCCGTCCAGTGACAGATAAGTCGCCTCCAGCAGGCGCGCGCCTTTGGACATTCCCAAAAGATGTGAGCCGACGTTTCTTTACGCCCCCAGCACTCCATCAGCTCTCGACAGCTGTTGTCAGCGCGACGACCATCATGGTAGAGGTTAAGTTGATTAGTGGCGATTCTGTAGCAAGTCCAGACTTGAAAATCCGAAAGGCCATTAGTATGGTTCCAAACTTGAGACGGGCGTTGATGAGCTGCTGCACGCAACCAGCCATCCTTGCTGATGACTTGTTTCAACCGTTGGATCAGCCCTTTCAAAGGGACAGCAAGCAGTCGTTTGTGAAGTCTGAACGCTAGCCGGGCAATTGTCGCCCTAATCGAACCGTTCGCCACCGTGTTGGCCACAGCCCAGGGAAATCGATGATGATCAGGATGTGAATAAAACACGACACCATGTAACCGCAGTCGGCTCATCCAAATGTCCCTCTCAGCGACAGTTTCAGTTACCAACTCAGGTAATGATGTGGTAAAAAGCCATCCAAATCCGTCGGCACTTTGCCGCAATTTGACGTGCTCACACCCGTTATCCGCAGACTCCCGTCTATTCCCGACGACGTAACCATGTCGCACCGTCGAAAAGTTAAAATGATACCGAAACGGAGGCGCATGACGAAGTGCTAACTTCGGTTCCAGCGCTAGTTCCGACCCAATTCGAATAGAAGGCGAAGCGAGCAAGATAGATGTAGCCCAGCGCCTTAACTTCGGCTGATAGTGATGCTTAGAGGCAGGTCCAGCCAGTGAGATACTGAAGATAAACTTTTTCGGTCCGGCTCTGCGAATGTGCAAGTCCGAGATGGAGCAGTCAGCTATCCGGTCGTATTTGGAGCGTACAAGCTGCCGACCCTGCCCGTCGCGAATCCACGAATTGTTACTCCATCCGAACGTTCCCCAAAAGCGGTGCAGTGCCAGTACTTGGACGTCGTCGGATGCTAATGCTTCCGGAAAAGGGTGATGGTAAGATAATACCCATTCATCTTCTTCCCACCAGCTACTGGCTCATTCGAGCAAAGTCGAATAGTGCATGCGGACGCGATCTCGAATAAAATTCAATTGCTCCGTCGTGGGTTGCAAAAGCTTGTCCATGTCTTGTATCCATTCAGGTTTCGACGGCTTCGAAGTGCAAGAAGATGTTATCCCTGGTATACCCCTTCCATACAGGACCAGGGATGAGGAAGTTGGCCTGCCTTGATAAGCCCAGTGACACTAAGAGGCAAAATACTTGTCCTGGGCTTGCGTTAGCCACCGCAGTGCATGTTTCGTGTGCTGAGTTTTGATTGCGACCTCGAATGAAGCCAGCCCTACTCCGCCTGCGAGTTTCGGAGTGAATAGCAGTCCTGGGTTGATCTTGTGCCTGCTAGCTTCTGTCGAAGAGGCATGAGCCCACAAAAATTGTTTGTACAAATTTTGGATTGCCTGCCTCGCCCATTCTGGGATGTCGAATACCGCTGCCGTGAATAAAATGGATGGAAGAATGATGGAGTTTAGAATCAACACGCGATTCTCCACACTAGTCGCGACCCTGGAAGCTGTGATTAGCCGCCGTTGAAGCCTTCGAATCCTTAAAGCCCAATTGCGGTTATGTAAGGCACCAAGACCAACCGCATAGCCCAGGTACCTTACTGTTTCTGGCTGGTGTAGCACCGAAATGCCAACCATTTCTCGCATCTGCACCCCTGTGTTCAAGAGTATGATTTTGCTCTTTGACGGCTGGGCTTCCAGTCCAGATAAGGCTCCAAAGCGTGATACGAGGGCAAGAGCCGGTGCCAGATGATTCGCTTGCTCGAGAAAAATCGTGGAGTCGTCGACAAACGCTGAGAAGCGGTGCGTTTGAGTACGGCCACCTGGGACCGGGAGTCCTTTTAAGGTGGGAGACTGCTGAACTGCAATTCCCAACAACTCAACCACCACGAGGAATAGCAAAGGGGCCAGAGGGCATCCTTGCCGAATTCCTGACACGACGGATATTGGACTGGACCGTTCCCCATTTACGAGGAATGTAGCCGTAGTCCCTTCATGCAGCCGAGTAATTAGCTGAATATATCGTTCCTCAAATCCAAATTTTCGAAGCGCCTCGTAAAGAAAGCTTCTGTCCACAGTATCATATGCCTTTCGAAAATCAAGTAGAAGGATGACCCTGCTATTAATCGCGTCGAGAGTTGCATCAGAAGAAGCCGTTGCCAGTTGGGAGAGCATCATCAGGACAGACTTCAACATCTGCCTGCCATGGACGAAACCTTGTTGTGAGTCACCAATGACTTTAGGTAATACAACTTGTAACCTAGTCGCCAGCACCTTCGCGAAGATTTTGTAACTGGTCTGAAGTAGCGAAATAGGCCTGTAATCCATAGCATCAGCTGAGTCACCTTTCTTCCGCAAAGGTATGATCAGCGCTTCCAGAAAAGAAGTTGGAGGATCTGAGCCCGCCAATATTTGATTACTGATTCGCACCAGGGCTGGAACCAAAAGCGCCGGCGTATCCTTGTAAAAGTCGTTGTTTAAACCATCAGATCCAGCCGATTTATGTCGACATAGGCCCGTGATGGCTGTAATAACCTCATCTTCAGTAAAATCGGCCATTAAAGGCCGATTCTCGCTCGAAGAAAGTACCCGTTGGGTGGGAACTTGAACAAAATGACGAATGGTGGCTGGTAAGGCTTCCAAAGGGGTACTGCGATGTACCACGCCTAAAACAGTGGACAACTCTGAGGCAAATTTATCTGCCGTCGACATGGTGCGACTAAAAACCGGTCCATGAAGCTGCTTAATACAGGTGACGGTTTGCTCGCGCTCCCAGTCGGCTATTTTGCGATAAAAAAACCGTAACCGATCTGTTATCCTGACCAGCTGTTGACCGAGTCGCACAATATGTTCCTGACGCAATTCTTCCATCTTACAGGATATCCATTGTGGCCTGGTAAGCAAGTGCTGCTGTGCCCGTCTCTGAATGTTATGGCGAAATCGAGCCCTGCGCTGCTTCACCCTCTTACTGACACGCCGAATACAGCGTACACACTCAGCAACGTCTAGATCCCAAGTCCTGGTAGATAAAGCTTGACCAACAGCCATGCCATCCATTTCCTCGACAAGTTCGGCTATAATGTTATCGGGGTTCGATGCTGTGATGGGATACACCACCCTATCACGTCGAATATGAGGGCGACGCCTGGTTGGTTTTCGCAGGTGTAGAACTACCTCCTGATGGTCCGACAAATTTGAAGGTAAGCGCGTCTCAACCCACAGGACGCGGTCCACCCAGCCTTCCGGTACATAAATCTGTCAATACGACTAGCCCTATCCCCTTCCCAGTATGTGAAATGGTCCACAAAAGTATCCATTGAGTCGTCGTCTGCGTGTTCGCGAAGCCATCTTGCATCAGCCAATCCTATCGTAGACACAACGTGGTCCAGGGCCGGGATTTCTGACCGGTTGGAGCGATGCTTCCCAAATCGATCCAGAAGGGGACTCTGGACGCAATTAAAGTCGCCGACGATCATCGTATTTGAGGGGTCTAGATTTAAGGTCAGCAGGGAGGTAAAAAAGCCTCTCGCTCGGACTGCAGAGTAGGAGCGTACACATTCACAAGGACTTCCCCCCATAGATACAGCGATCGCGCGTGTGGTCCAGAAATCCGGTAACCAGGCCGTCGTATGTGTTTCAATTTGTGGAGTGAGTAGAATAGCAACTCCTGCCCGTTTTGACGAGCCAATACTCCAGTACGATAGGACATGGGAAGTCGGGTTAAGATGCTGACCCCATAGTCGAGCCCACTGATATCGCAGCCGAGTTGCCTCTGCTTCTGTGTGCACATGTGTGTCCTGGATGCACCAAGCCCCTGTTCTGTGTCGATTTGTCTTAGCCCGCCAACCCGACATCCAACTGTCGCGCACGCTGTTCTTGAATCCTCGTACATTTTGAGATATGTAAAGCATGTCACCCATCCAGCCTTGGAGCCGAGATGTAACTGGCTCAAAAGAATTGGTCCATTCCTTAAGCAAGAGATGGCGGCCATAGGCGTCCGATGCGTCGAGTGATGCACCACCGGGCCTGAAGGCCTCGTTGCTCCGTAAGCTGCCCTTAGTACTCAAGTAGAAACTGCTGCTCTGCAGGAGCCAACGCAGTATTAAAGAAGCAAACCAGCTTGCGCCAATCCACCTTGGATCCCCCGTCAGCGTAATACACCTCCTTGTAGTGACTGTTGTTCCGAAGTAAGCGTAGGTGCCCTCGAAGTTGCTCGGGAGGCTCAAGTGGTTTTTCCCCATCCCCGGTCAGCGCAAAAATCTCAGCGTCGAACAATACCGCACATAGTAGGTGATAACTCAGGCGTATACGTCGGTGAGGGTCACAAAGACGCAAAATATCATCGGTAGCGTAGTCTACCTCCCTCAGCTTGACCCAATCGTCGGTATTGTCGATTAATGGGGCCAGCTGGGAGGAAGGCAATCGCTGCTGTGTTCGCACGATCCATTGATCTAGCCACAGTGATTGTATAGAATCTTGCACTCGACGCCTATACTCAAGTAGACCAGACAGCAAGCACGCCTGTCGCCACTGAGCCGTCCACATCCCGAGAACGTGATCCCCTAGGCTAGCCAGCAGTTCACCCGGGAAAACAAAGCGTCGCACGTGATGGAGCAGCAGCTCTGGCTCGACCTGGGCAGTTTTCAGCCACGCCTCAGGGTTACCATACACTAGTGGATATGGCGTAGAAGCCGTTACTGGCCATTCAACGCCCAGAGCCTGCCAGAGATCCGGCCAGTCGTCGGTATCCATTCGTTCCTCCATCCGAGTGATATAGGGTTGAGGAGAAGCAACGCTGATCCTGCCATTTTTCTGTTTGGAGCTCTCAAGTCCACTCCAGTTCTCCCCTTCGCTGACCTCGATGGACTCCGACGTGCTGACGTGCCCACGTTTTCGAGCCGATAGCGAACTGCCCTGATTGGCCCCCCTGATCTGCGATACACAATAGATAAGTGCTGCAATGACGCTTTGGCAAGACCACAGTTCCTTGAAGAGTGGATGATTATCGAAGTGTTGTCATCCACAACCGACATATGATCCCTGATAGGGGATAAGATATGGGAGCGCTTCTCTTCTAGCTGCACAGCTAAAGTATCCACAATTTGCGAGTCCTGACCTTGCTGCAGCGCTGAGCCTGTTCCGTCCGAGACGTCAGTTAGGCTGAGCCGATCTGCCGCCCTGGCAGTGTGCAGAAAAGCCGAATAATGCCGGCCCCAGAATCTAAGCACCAGTGGTGGAGCGCGAGGCGCCTCTATTTTTGCCGCTTGCAGCTCGTCTATACACGCCAAGAGAGTGAGTGGAAATTCTTTGGCAGTTTCCACTACTCGACCGTGTCTGTTGATCGTAGCAGGACATACTTGCGACCACTCCAGTTACCCGTTCCGCGGCCACAGTTCAACACATAGATAGTGTGATGCAAAAAAATTGGCTGACATTCCAAGAGTGTCACTTCCACCCCAGCTATGCTCCTCAACCAGGGCTTCTCTGTTGGAAGGGGAGGCTGCATAGTCATGCAAAAACCACCGTAGTTGGGACGCAGACTCCCCCCTGGTCATCGTCGTCCAACCTCTGCCAACGTTCTTTAAAGCATGAACCCGTACGTCATGAGCCATTTGATCCTCCAAATTTAGTAGTCCGGCGTTGGAGATTCCCCGTTTAATACTAGCCGTTAAAATCTCAAGGTCCTTGTTAGGGTTGTCCAAAGCAGATTCTGTGAGAGCTTGAGCTATGGCTATCGCCAAACAAAAAAATTGCCCGTGGCCGGTGTGGCGACTTCACGGAGCCCCAAAATCTGTACCAATTCTGTCACATGCATGGGTTCAGCATGAGGCATTGGTTCCATGGGGATCGCGTGACTTGTCCCCGGTGACAACTGTTTAATTAGCTGCTCACATGTTGAACGCTCCCGGCGTTTATTGGCCAAAAGCGTTGGGCCCGCAACAACAGACACCTGTCCTCTCCTGGCGGCTGCTGTTTGTCGTGCTAGATCCTCAGGTGTCAACGTGGGTGGTCCCTTCTTGGAAGACGCATCCCGATCCGTCATCTTACTTGATGCTTGCCTTGGCAGATCATGGGTATCTCTATCAACAGAATTCGAGGACGTTTCGGTCTCATCCAGCTCGTCCTCTTGGAGCACGTGATAACTACCGCTGCTAACCTTGAGATCGCCTTTCGAGGCCTGTAGGGGTGACCATATCCTCCTCCCTCCCCGTATAGGCCGGGTCAGCCATGGTTGCGCTGGTCGGCATTTTGGGGCCGGTGGTGGTGGTGGTGGCCCCTCGTGCGTGCCTGGTGGAGTATATACCTGTTGGAGAGGTATGCCAGTTCTAGGGGGTTCTGTCACTGGCGACGGACTGGGGGCAACTGTCAATGCCACCGGCGTCACTGCAGCCTGCGCTGCCGCATCCTCCGATTGTTGGACTTGTAGACGTCTCATTGCCATCTGCCTCATTTCGTCTGGACTGCTAAAAGGCTTGGCGAGGTCTTCAACAGCTTGAAGATCTGCTTCGATAACTTCTACGCCACCCGGCCCGCGTAATTGCGCTTCTGTGAATTGACATCTGCCCGCCGGGTGTCCCAAAGTTCCACACTGCAGACATTGGAGGCGACGGCCCACATCTGGATGCCTGATGATAATTGGTGTTCCAAACCAAAGTAATCGTACTATACCCTGAAGGAATTTCGGGCAGCCCGCTAGATGAAAGGTTACCTTCCACGCTGTTGATGTTCTTGAATTTGGTGTGCATGTGTCCATGTCCTCCAGCTCAAATTCCGTTTGAATCTTCGAGCGCAAGTAAGCTGCTATGCGTCCAATGTCGTCGAATCTGGTAAGATTATAGAGGATAATCGTATAAGCCGATCTTGGGTACCCCGACCGACCATCTGGACCCCGCTGGTTCAGCCATAACGATCCCCTTACCGGCTGATGGGCGTTCTCCAGCGTATAAACTCGACCTTGAAAAGGCACTTGAACGTCCTGGAGCTTCTTTGCCTTGTTTCGCGAAAAAAATAAAAAGAGAATCGACCGGGTTGATCGATTGTAACTGATCGTTTTCGTTGATCCCAGCAGGCGATGGAGATCGGGCAAACTGACCCTCAACAGCTCGGCTGATTCCAGAATCTTCTCCGTGATGGCCTTCGTTGTCTGACGACTTAGAGGAATGTCACGCCCACCGCTGATATGGAGAACTAATTGACCCTCCACCTGCGCCTGAACGGTACTGTACAGCCGAAGACGTTCCTTGCTGTCCAGAACCGATCGTAGAAAGTCTGGCATCCGGCGACAGACTATATGCCCTTCGGCAATACCCACAATAATGCGCCATTCGTCATCAGACCCCTCACCTAGCCGTTGGAAGCCCGTGTTACCTAGCCGGGCCACACAGATGGCCTTTAGTGTAATCGAGTCTTCCAACGAGAATTTGGCCGGGTCAAACATAAAATCTTCATAGGTTATGCTCCCTTTGTTCTCCCCGTCCATTTGGCGAGCCGTATTACCCGCCCGCACGACTTCTGCCCATTGATTGGGGACAGGAGCAGTGGCCCACTTTTGTTGACTGACCAATTTTCTTATGATCTCCTTGAATGCCCACTTCGTCAGGAGGAGTTCTTTGCTGATCTGATGAGCCAGTCGTTTCCAGTCGGCGAAACTTACAGAAGCTGACACATAACAGCGTCGAAAAAGATCTAGCAAGCTCTTCGCCTCAGGTCCCTTAAGCTTGGGAAACCTTGTGCGTCCGGCCGGTAACGCGTCGACGCTTACCGGTATCCGAGCATATTTCGCTGTAAATAGGTCCTGGATGGACAGACGCCAGACATCAACGTTGGTTGGGCCTGGTGAGGCTTTCATCGACTCAATTAGAGCCTCAAAAAGCTCCTGAGGAGGTACGTGCTCCACGGCCGGCGTGGATGAAGTCGTCTTTACCCCCTCAGGTAATCGGGGTTGTGATACCACTGTCTGACGCGTCGACGCTCCGTCGCCGCCGCCAGGCGTTGACGAGTTTAAACCGTGATCGACCGAGGCTCCGACCGTGTCTGGCCCGTGGCTCGATACGGGAACCGCCTGCTGGTCGTCTGCCATGATGGTGTCAACTACGATATCTCCACCTGCCGTCTGGGTAACGATTGGTCTTGTGACGCCAGGAGAGGCAGGGGAATCGTCCTGCCCGCCCTGAACCGCTACCATCCCGCGAGCCATTCCTGTGTGGCTCTGCCTATCGGGTAGCGCGTCGAATTGGGTGCTGTTCCCCTCCTCCCCATCGGGGGGGAGGCGCGGAGGTGGCTTGATGGCCGTCGTTCGAGTATCTGGATGATGCCAGTACTGGTCCTGTTTATACTCCTACTCCAAATAACGCTGATTGAAGAGTACCTTTGGTCTATTTTGAGACAATCAGAAGCGTGCGTCTCAATAATGACCTAGTAAAATAGTGACTGTGTGTAATCTACAATACCAATGTGGTGCGGACAGGCTAAATCGCACTTAGTACGGGTAAGCTACACCTAGCTGCATTTTTCCAGACGAAGACACATGTAAGAAGTACGGTTTGATAGTTCGGTATTTAATCTTGCGTGTACTCACTACTAGCTCCACCCTTCGAGCTCGCAACGAACCGAAAGTCAATATGATGGGTTTATATTAAAAAAAATTTACCACTACACTTACAGGTAAGAAGTAGGGTAGTGGCCCAGATTCGCAGTGTAGTGCATTTAGCAGGTGTCGTGGTTTCGAGTCCCACACGGTGCGAATTTTAGAAATTGAGGGTAGTTCACGGTGTAGTCCAAATTCCGAGCATGTCTTGCTTGAGTCTCAGCTTCTGTTCCATATGACGGCATGCGGCGGTAGCCACAAAAACATTAAAAAATCAGATAAAAACACGTGCAAATACAGCACGCATCTACACACATCGACTATCCTGAGCATGTCTTCCTTGAGTCTCAGCTTCTGTTTCCGCATAACAGTTTACAATGGTTGCTCGATAATGTCGAAGAACAGGTCCGAATATTAGGCAGGAACGAAGGTTTATGGCAACGTATCATTTGCAAGTTTTTGAACTAATCACCACAGACGTAGATAGTCGTGACTAAGGCGATCTTGCCTTTGAGACACTGTTTCCGCTGCGCGTCTAGTTCTCATATCTAAAATCTTTAGAGATGAATAGAGATGATCAGGTTCTTGATAATAGTAATCCAAAAGACTTTCAGTATAAATGTGTTAATATATTTCGACACGATAAAGATCAAGATCGTTCATCTATAAAAGCACAAATAACGACATAGTAATAAGCCATAATTCAACAAATACAACAAATGCATATAAAAAATATAGGGTACATATGAAGGCGAAGGCAATAATTATTAGCCCGAAACAACATGCCTGCTGCTGCCTGTTCTCGAAGAGCAATTGTAGTGGTGTCACTCGATGATGAGGCAAGTCTGGCGCGATAAATTTGGGCGCGACGCCAATTCAGACAACGTCGCTTACTTCTTGGCGACTCTGGAGACTCCGGCGTATCTACAGGGAGAATCCTTCTCTCCATCCTTAGGTCCAGTGGACAAGCATCTACTTGCTTGACTGCAACTGGTGGTACCAATGTCGATTCAATTGTGCCAGATGTGCAGCCACTTCTTTTTGAGCTCTGAAAGGTCGTGCGTGTTCGTTTTGTACTTTAGTCAGCCTTGTACGACCTTTGAGCTTTTCACGTGCGTGCGTTAGTCGTGCGACTTTTACTATTGATTCGATCGCAAATGGTAATTTACCTAAAGACGAACACCTATCATGCTAATCGACGTATGAGGGGGGGGCAGGCTAGCTCGCACTTAGAGGTCCACCTAACCGCGTTATTTACAGACAGACGGACACACACGCCGATAAGTACGATAAAAAGTTTGGTATTCAACCTCGCGCACAGTCACTAATAGCTTCACTCTTCGGGTTAGCTTTTGCTTTTAGCTCTAACACAATACGGACGTCGTAGCTTGTGGGTCAAAAAGACTTGCAGCGTAAAAATAAGCAGCTACGTATGAGCGAATGATAGCAGACCTCGCGAATCTTGTTCGAACGAGACTCGAAGCGTTTGACACCCTGAGGGATTGCTGTGATCCTTATTATATTGTAGTGGAAAGAAGGATGTAGGTTTTGGTAAATGCAACAATCCAGCAGCTACGGCTACCTAGGAGCAGCATAGAAGGCGTCTTCACGCCTGTTTTGTCACCAAAACCGGTCAAACATAGCAGAAATGACGTACCATGATGATGCGATAGTCGTAAAAGCACCAAAATGAAAGCGCGGTAAAACATTTACGCAATCGAAAGAGATGAGATGTTCCAGTGCTCGTTTAGTGAAAACAACTTGTCCTCACTATCAAATGCAAGAAGCAGAGATTGAATCAACGCCGTCACGATGAATCTACAACAAGCTGTCGAGGCACTCGGTGATCCTTGTTTTACAAGAGTCGAGCGCGACGGCTGAGAAGGTAGCAAAATAGCAAGCGTGGCGCAACATTTGTTCGCTCTACGTACTCCTATACCCTCGATTAGTCGGACTCCAGGTGCCAGTTTTCTAGCAATAGCATTGATGCGACTGCATGGTCGTCACGATCAGTACAAGTTGGAGGCAATTGTGACCCACATATGGCGCGAGATCGCCTTAATCGTGCTTGTCATCGAAAAGCACTTCGATTGTCAAGCGCTGTCGTCGCTTGGGTGACAAAACAGCAAGTCGACCTGGAAAAAAACTACGAGATCAGCGTGTTTTCTCCGAAAAAGGAATTGTTTCCTGCCTCATCTGTTGACCTTTACTGACCTTGCTCTACTCCTCAACGTTACGGTAGGGTCTACCACCGTAAGAGCTGCATAACTTCTTTGCAACTACGGATGAAGAGCTAATAGCCAAAAATGAGTACAGGAAACCAGATTCTCACGTGGAAGATGGCGAATAATTGGAAGAGGGCCGTTTACACTATGACGAGTTTTCTGCAGCATCCATGTCTCCTTACTTTGTAAAATTTTCTGGACAAAAGTCAAATATTTGTCGACCCCGTTTCGGGGTCTCGTGATGGTGGCTGACAGACTGTGTTGTGTTCAACTTATTCAGGAACGCCAGTTTTGCTGCCGATACAATCGACTTCCAGGGCGTGTAGATTGCAGTATTGGGTCACCCAGCTCAGCATCCCCCTGGAATGTAAAGCTGGTAGAGACAAGGACTCAATGGAGTGTAAAGTATGGGATGAACAAAGCGTCCGACGTTGCTCCTATACAGCTGCAGGGATACGGTAGCACGTAACGTTCATCGATGGTAGACGATAATTCCTACGTGTCAATTTGTTTTGCTCGCCCCGAACCATAGCAATTGCATCGTTTGCGCTGCAGCATGATTTATCTGCGCTCGTAATACATGGACCGAGAACTCCAACAGCAGTTTTATTCACTTTATCGACATCGTACTGCTATCGCTGAGTCTCCTTGACTACATCCCAACTGCGAGAGTATGTGGCCTATCTGATCTCGAAGCGAATGTTGTCATAAGTAAATCAATGATGCATTGTGCGTTCGTCTCGTCCTCTGCTGCTTATGCTGTTAGGACAGAAAACTGATCTGTGAACGTTCGAATCGGAAATTGGTTACAAACTAGACGAGTCAAAGCTCTCAATTTTCAATGATAAGTTTCAATATCAAGCAAAGTGCGATCGATTGTGATTGAATTGATCGTACACTGATCATGTTGAACGTGCACTTAGACTCTTCTCTTCAAGAGGAAACATACTTTGGCACTACAAGGTATTTCAAACTACCACCTCGCTACTTGAATCTCGATATTGGCGCACGGAAAGGATAGCATCATGCACATCGTAAGCACGTCTGAAAGAGAGACATTGACAGTATAACTCGGATAAAGATGACACTATTGTTCTTTTGGTGGTGTTACGCATGATCAAAACTTCTGGAATGTGCTTTCGAATGTAACAGTCTACGAAGTACCCCGATTGCTTTGATCGAAAGACTAGACTGGATTGGAGGACGGACATTCTTCGCGGTTCGTATATTCACTCTACCGCCTAGCTGTCTAAATTAATATATTCCGATGCTTACTGGCAATCTGACCGCCGACTGTACGTATGTTCATCGAGGCAACGACACGGTGTCTATGTTCTTGACTATTGCTTTGATTATCGACACTGCTGAAAAATTATCACGGAATTGGCACTATGGAATGAGAGTAAATGGCTACAACGTCTTTTTGTTTGTGAAGTTCGCTATCCTTTTCTAAATATCTTGACAGAACTTTGTTGACGTGGCCGTTTGATTAATCGACGACGGCACAAAAGCATCCGGCAGGTTGACCAATGGGTTTCTACGGAAACTATCCACAGTATATCCAGCAATTATCCATCCACCAACATCACGATATCCTGGCGACCACTTGTGGCGTGTCGATCCTGTTTGTGCATTTCTAAACATTATTGCTTTTTTGCCAAAACACTTTGTCAAAACGCATCAGTAACCACCTCGCCTCCACATTACCAACTTGACAGTTGTCTCCAATAAAAAGTGCTTCTTCAAACCGAAAATCGAACTCCCTCCTGGCATCGATGCTCGCTATGATTACACCATCCATCGACATTACACCCATCGGTGCCTCGAATGACGTAGTCCACACGACGTCAACACCCACAAACCCAAGAAAATCTTGTCCGTCACGTACCCCCGCAGCCGTCCACGACACAAAAAAGTGTCGATTTCAACCGACAGTTACGTTTGCTCACCCACGTCCGCCCATACGTACAAACACTCACCAGCTGCACCAGCGCTCGCCGTGCGGCCGCCTCACCCGCGCACACACCCACGTCTCTCTCTCTCTCTCTCTCTCTCTCTCTCTCTCTCTCTCTCTCTCTCTACTCGAAGCCTCGTCGCGCTCTAGCGCTGTTTGTACCCACTCTCGACCTCTCCGAAACCGCCTTGACCGACAACACGCTCGTGCGAACACTGCCCCGACCATCACTCTTGCCCGACACAAAAACTGGCCATGAGTGCGCGCTCGAGCTCCACGGGCTCCCCGCGGCAACTCACCGTGAACCAGATGAACCAGCTGTCGATCCGCAGCCTCGAGGACCTGAACCAGCTCTCGCAGGCCACGCGCGAGTTCGGCGAAGTCTATTCCGGCAACGGCAGCGACAGCGACGCGACGGCGCGCCGCAGTCCCAAGTTCCTCCAGCAGCTGTTTGATCCGCTGGAGACGAGACGCGACGCGGCCTGTCTCTTCCGCGTCCGGATCTCGGGCATCCAGTGCCGGAACCTCCAGGGCGGGCGCTTTAGCGGCAAGAACGACCCCTACGTGGAATTCCACTGGGACAGGGACGCCAGCGACTGTGCCAAGTCGAATAATCACGCTACGAACGTGAATAATCACACTACGAAGCTTAATAATCACACTAGCAATCAGCACGGACTGGAGGACGGAGTAGCGACAGGGATCCCGCCGTTCGCGACGCCTGTGATCAAAGCGGACTTGAACCCGAACTACAAGGGCGTGCTCATTACGTTCGAGTACAAGGCGACGCTAAAGGCGCTAGCGACCAAGTACTTATCGGTCAAGGTGTTTGCCAGCAAACTGTTCCAAGCGAACCAGTTGATTGGGCAGACGAAAGTGGACTTGTGGAGCATTGCCACCGGCCCGGTTCATCACGACCATCACTTGGAAGGCTGTGAAAATGGCCGCGTCGTGTTTAATTGCTACATGGAACAATGCAGTGAGTGGGACATTTCCGTGAGTGACGTGGGCGTGATGATGCCGGCGATTGCCAATGAATTGGACCGACCGGAAGGACACGATTTTCAAGAAGATGCGTCGCTCCCGCTCAAGAAATTCGGGGTCAGTTACAAGTGCACCATTGGCATTAATGAGAAGTTTTATATGGGCAATACGCTCAAGCATGCCGTCAAGCGCGAGATCGGCGAGATTGACGAAGTCAGTTTTCAGGCTTTGGCCCGGTTAGCAGTGTTGTCGTCTCGAGTGTCGAGACCGAACACGCAGTCAAAGAACGAAGCTGGAGCTGATGATGAAGTTGCGGCCGACTTGCTCGTGGCTCAAGACCCGATAGGTGTGGGATGGACGTCATCATCGGACTACCTCCCTCCTATCAAGCGGTACAGTACTTTTGACGAACTCATGTCTGCAACTTTGACGCTGGAGGTGAGTTCGCGGTGGATGGAGGTGGTGAATGTAGGTCGATGGACATTAACAATTATGGATTGTTGCTTGATCAGGTTCGCCAACTATTGGTCGGTCGAGGTCAAATGTCTAATGATCCTGATGAAGAGTTTTTGGGTCTACTGGACAAGTACAAGAACGATACGTTGGTAGGTGCATGCTACAAGATTTGCTTGTTTGGATGTCGATGTAAGTTTGTAATTGTATGAACAAATGATTGTCTACTCAGGCAACATCCAGCACGGATATTGAGTTTGATGAAGAGATTAAAAACACGATCTTGTTCGGGCAAACGTGGCTTTCGTTGGAAAAGATCTTTGAAGATGCCTTTCAAGAGCGGATTAAGAAAAAGTATGATGCTGATTCAGGTGAAGAGACAAATGGCTTGGGGTATTCCGATGCGTTCGTGACGAGCAAGTTTGAACACAGCCTCACCCTAAAGGGACACCAAGTTGGAGTGATATATGGTACGATCTTGTTCAAGCGCATTCCCGATGTGCGGCAACTTCGATGCGGCGTCAACAGCGAGAACGGCATTTCTTCTTCAAGCGCGGTGATTGTTGGAGCAGCAGCTGGAGGATCGAAGAAGAATTTGCGCAAATCCAAGGTAGTAATCCCGATCGAAGCCCAGCTTGTGTTGGAGAAAATGCAAGACCTGGTGGAGCTGATGTCCAATCGGCAAAAAGACGACAAGGAAGCCAAGGTGCGAAAGGCGACAAAAATGCTGAAGATGCTACAAATTTCTCACAAAGAGTCCATGCTGTCGTGGGTGTATGTGTCTACCAAAGCGCTGGAAGAGACGAAAAATATCCTATTGCGGCTGTGGCAGTTTTTGCTGGAAAACATTCGCGTTCGTCACTATACGCTCAGGAATGTGTTCTATGAACTACTTTTCTATTTGGTAAAACGCGCAGAGCTGAGTGACTTGCCGTTGTTGGGCTTTGACACGACTGTGGTGACTACGTTGTTGGGGATCAAACATACGCATAAAGTCTCGAAGAAAGATTTGGCATTTGCCTTGAAGTTGCGGGCGATGCTTGTAGAAACCAAGTTCTGCGTCCTTCAGACCGTATCCGTCCGTGGTGTCATGAACAACAATCTGATGTTTTTCGTAGCGAGAATGTTATCGGTTCTGTGTTTCCGGCTTCCGAGTTTTGGTGTGGAAGTGTACCAGTTGTGGTCAGAATCATACAATGAACCAGTTCCTGAACTTGCTGCTGAATTTCGAATGAACGCCGTTGCTGATTTGTTTGCAATGGATGGTCTGGAAGCTCACTTGGATTGGCGGCGATTCCACAAAGCCGTTTTTGACGAGTACGGAGAGAAGGTGCTTCGGCATCAAGAAGAAGAAGCTGAGGACAAGTACGAGGTGACTTCCGAAGCTTGGAAGTCGCGCTTTCGTCGGCTCAACGGAGAGGCAAACACTTTGAATATCCTGTTGGTGGATCAGTGGTTGTGGTATGTTCTGGACACCTTGGCAGTTCTTAACCGAAAGATTGGTTGGGTCCACTTGCCTGGGTACACTCAAGTGCTGATGGTATTCTTCTTGGAGTTGAAGACGCAGAAATCGGGCTGGCTTCCACCTACACTGTACAAGTTATCGTGCACAATGCTGTCAAACTCGAGCTTGATCAACCCCATGACCAAGTTTCTGCTGAGTAGTACCAGCGTGCATGATGTTACGGCGGTCATTGGCACCGTGGAACTTCTTGGAGTGTGGATGTATATGATCCGAAGCTGGCGCGTTCGTTTGAGTTCGTATTGCCTGTCGCATTTAGAAAATAATGATCGCTGGAATTTTCACCAGGACGACCAATACTCGATTCCAGCCGGCGATGAGGTGTCATTGCTTCCGCCGTCGTTTGATTTTCGTTTCCTTTGTGCAGCGTTGCGCATTTTGCTGGACTCGGAACACACCCAGGTTGTATTGACAACTCTGGAACTCCTTTATAACTGTTGGGATTGCTTTCCAGAGCGACATGCAGACAAGCTTCGCATTGAGCTGGTTCGGTCTTTCATTCGACTATTCCTACACTGGCACCGTGAAGTGCGAAGTTTCTTCCACACGCTGATTGCTTTTCGAGCTATGAAGCCGCACGGGTGGACTCAGAAAGGGGCATCATTTGTGGACACACCGCCGCACAGCCGTCGACAAATTGACGCTGTTGCTGCCGATTTCAATTTATCTCTCGGTACTGAAGAACCAAGTGATGCTATGCGCCGCTCGCGTTCTTACAGTGCCAACAATCTAGCAGATTCGGGACACAAGCGGCTTAGCGCATCGTCACCGCGCTCATCTCCGCGGTCAGGGTCGACTTTGTCTATCACAATATCATCACCGAACAGCCGCGGGTTCGGCAGTGGTCACAGTACCCCTACTTCGGACTACAAGAGTGGGGACAGTTTTCATTTGGATCGGCCGAAGGCTCGCAGTATATCAGAAGACGGTCTTAACCAGTCGGAGTCACTACAGCCCAAAATGGATTCAAACATACAGCTGAAGCTCAATCGATTGCTCGAGTCGGTTTACGCTGCTGCCAAAACATACATCGAACGTCAGAGCGAAAACGGAAATCTCTTGCGGAAGCAGACGATGCAGGCCACGTGGAAGAAGAAGGGCATGCTGCTCAAGCAAGGGTTTATCTACAAGAACACTTGGGAGAGCAAGCATTTTTCGCTTCAGAACAACAAGTTAGGTTACGCCGACACGGAACATAGCCCAGTCAAGCGCGAGATGAACGTTATCGGTAGCGTGGTCTCTGAAGTGTCGAACCAGCTGGACCACTCTCAGGGAACGCGTGCTGTGCTCTTTAACTGCTTTTCCGTCGATAGCGGTTACCAGAAGTTTGTTCTGTGTGCTCCATCATATGAGGAGCAGCGTGAGTGGATGGAAGTGTTGACACAAAATGCAACTGCAGAGACTGCTGTGCGCAAAGATAACGAAACACTGTCGCAGGTGGATCTTGCCGAAGTTTCCGACCAGTTGGAGTCGCTTGCAGGAAAGCACACGGCTGCAGATGATGTACCAGAGTCTTTGTTGCCGTATTCGGTCCTCGCCGTCAAAGAGTAAGTTCTGTTTTTGCGATGTGATGTGATGGGTGTTCGAACGCGGATTCTAAATTGATCTTGTTTTGCAGGTGGCTGAACTTCCGAGTATCGGCGCTGGAGATTGAGAGCAAACTTGCTGCTGGTCAGCCGTTCCAGATGCCAGTGCTGCTATCTAAGTCATCATTGTATGCGGATGATGATTGAACCGAGTGGGCGCGAAATCGGTAATTTGCGGGTAAGGCGTGGCCATCTCGTAAGCGCTAGGTGGTTCACGGCCTGTTTGAGTACTAGTGTTTAGCGATGGGCGCGTATGAAGTTGAATGCGCTTTGGGTGGTCTATCACGACGTGCTAATGGAGTGATACATGCAGATGCAAGAACGAATCAAGACTGGAAAGTCGGGTGGTGGAGTGGTCACGTTGCTAATGAAGTGGTGATCCAAGCCCTCAAAGCAGCCATGTTGTTGATATCGTGATTTGCGCTCATGCGGGCTCGTCATGGTGGAAGCACAGTTCACCTGTACTGAGATGTATCGGTCTGCACGTCGCGGTTCTGAGATGCCACTTCGCCGCTAATTTTGCTGGCAACTAGTGAAAAAAGTAGTGTCTGGCCGTACACATGTACATGAGGTGAAATCAAGAGATCATTGCAACAGAGCACAGTTGCACCTTCGGGTCAGTTATTGGAGCCGCAACTAAATTCGACTGTGTCAAGTTTGGCGTCTACGCCGTCTTCACCACAATGATTGGAATTTACTTTGGCTACCATGTTTACTGCATCTCCACTGGCTGGAGCTAGTCCACCTCAGCTGTGACCTTCAGGGCCATCATGTCCACATCATCAGCAGCCACGCTCATCTAGTAGCCTTGTTTGACATCCATTGCCGTCTCGAATTTGCCTTTCGATCACGTCGACTCCGACGACATCTTCAGCGAATGTCAACGTGGGTTCGTGGACAAACGTGCCAGTGTCACGGAATCAACCATCTAGTAGTGCTGTCGTTGGTGACTCGTGCTCGCTGGATTCCTCTTTTTTCCGTGGTCTGTCATAGCTTGACGACAAAAACCACGCAACTCAGCAAACATTTCTCGATCACCTGGCTTTGCGATATCCCGTTCCGCACATACTTGCAAGGCTTGACGCTTTCTACAGTATGCACATGTCTTGCAAGGCGCCTAGAATGGGAACGACGCTACTTGCGTTGGATTCGTCGTAGTAGATCATTTCCTTGTACATTTTCTTGAACATTTCCAGTTTCTTGGTCTTTGAAGCAGAGCCATTCGCATTGGCAACAAGACATTCACTCGAGCTCAATCGTATAAGCTGATGCAGCACAGCTTTCACCTTTGCCACAATGCCACGAGCGAGTAAAGCCATTTGATCGTCTTCGAGCTGGAACGTCTTGTTGGTGTTGCCAACATTAAACGCTTCATACGTACTCAACAGAATCAGCAAGGCATGTTCAATGCCTTCGAATCGGCCACCAAGTATGTGCAAATCCGCCAGCTCTTGATGGATCAACACAAACGTTTTCCCAACTTCCGCAGCGCCGAAATAATGAAGAGCCTTTTCGTAATGCCTTCGAGCAATTTCCATGCGGCTCACAAGTGTAGACGAAAACCGGTCACACTTATCGGCTTGTATGTTGTCTCGCTCGCTTCGTAACGTACTTGAAATCATGCGGCTGTAGAACGAAGCTATCTGGTAATGGGTAGACGCAGTTTGCTTCTGGTCGCCTAGCTCTGCGTACAGCGACAGCGCCTTGTTAAAAACCTTGAGCGCTTCATTTTCGCGCTCTTTCGTAAGCGCAGGTCTAGTGGTCTCCAATGTCGACACACTGTTTGCCATATCCACTGCCCACACCAGGTAAGTCAAGGCCAATTCTCCTTTGACTTTTCGGTGCAAGTCCATGTCAGCCTTGCTTTGCTTCAGAAGCTGCAAAGCTTCGGTACAAAGTCGAATCGCCGTTTCATAGTGCTCTACTCTCTTGTCCGCGGATTCACCTTGGGCAAACATTTTGTGAAGGTGCGCGAGGTTGGCCCGGAGCAGCGCTACATTAACTCCATCTAAAAAGCGCGTCAGGTAACTCAGTTTCTAGCACAAAACCTACTGTGAAGGGAGATGAACATGATCAAGTACATACCTTCGATGTCACTGAAAATCTTGCAGCCGCGCTCAAACCATCTGAAAGCTTCTTTGTAGTCGGACTCCACGGCAAGGGAATACTTACCAAGCTCATTGCTTGCGTTGCCCAGTTTTTTCATCATCATACTGCATAGTAAAGCACATGGATAGAGTTAATGCTTTTCTCCGACCACAATTGACATCATGTGAACGTACAAGTACAGCTCGGAGTTTGCCGGTGGTGACAACGCACGTAAATAGGCTAAGAAAGACAGCATCAGCAGATCCTTCACACTACTTGCAAGCGTCTTGTCGTCTACAGATCCAGCGGTTTGTACCAGTGCCTTCAAGAGCTCACTTGCATGATCGCATAGACATGGAAGCTGATCACGTTTGACACCAGAGACAACATCATACAAGGCAGCCAATACATCATACACGCCCGCAGGCTTTTGCGCAGCCATATCACCGATGAGACCCAGCAAGGAGCAGCGTAGTTCGGCCCCTGATTCACAAATCCTGATCTTTCCATGAGATAGCCCTGCTCTTCCAACACCGTCAAAGTCCAACTTCTCCAGTAAGCGGTCAAACACAACGTCCTGCTCTCGTGAAGACAAATCAAGTGGCTCTACATCACCAGGAATTGAGCTCAGCGTTAGAAATTGGCCAGCTTCAACCATAGATTTCACAGCGTCAATCCACTTGTGGTCGCGAGCATACAAATGCCCAAGTTCAAGGCACGCAGAGCTGAACTTCAGCTGCAGCCGGTTCAATTCCTCATCCATAAAGTTGCCCATTTCACCGTTTTCGTCCTCGTCCTCAGGTGCCAATTCATCATCATTGCCTTCGATTGCAGCAGATCCGTCAAGTTCGTCGTTGGTATGTGTCAGAGCGGGACCAACATTTTTGGGAATGCATTCTTCAAACAACTTGATGCTTGCAAGCAAATACTGTTTCGCCTTCTCAAGCAATCTGATGGCCGCCTCCCGATCCGAGTCCACTGATGTCGACTCCGTTGAGTTGAACGCGTGGATTTGATTGCACTCACGAATGTAGGTATCAGCAAGCTGTTCACTGACCGACGAGCAAATAGATCCATGGGCCGCCCCACCCTTTTGAGCGATCTCTCCCAACAAACGCATGCACGTGCACAACAAATTTCGTTCGCGCTGCTGAAGCTGTTGTTGCAGCTGTGGTGTTCCTGCTGCTAAGGAGCTCGAAAGTCTCGATGCTCGAGCTGCAAACCGATAGCAAAGCATTGCCATCATGTATTTCCACTTGAGCTGACTTCCTTGGGAGAGCACGTCGACATCATAGAGCCGTAACGAAGCTTCGCCCTCCTTTCGATGCAGCCAATACGTGCCATTGGGTCTCGAGCAATTCTCCTGAAGAAACTTGAGCAGCGTCGATGCGTTCATACTTACATCCTGGACATCAAACAAGGGCCGTCCAGTGCTTGACATGTACGGAATCTGTCGCGTTTCCACCAACTTGTAGCCGCGAACGAGTCCCTTGGAGTGCATGCATACTGCTAGCTCTGGAATATTTGCAATGACGTTATCCAGGTAATAATCCAACACGGTGCAGAGCGATAGCTCTTTGTCCATGTCATGAAGCTTCAGGGAAACGGCAGGGTGCTCTGGGTTGCTGAACAGCAAAACTTGACTGCCAAGAATCTAACAATGCAGCCAGGTAATTAGTGTCGTCACAACCGATTGTTTTAACTCAGAAAAGATGCGTACCATCTTGAGATCGTTGAATTTCCATTTTAAAATCCGCTGAAACATCTGCGACTCGGCATGCAATGGCGAATACTGTGCTGCAGACGCTTGACAGTTTGATCCTGTCCTGATGAACGAAGGACGCGAATCTTGCTGGCTCGAAGGCGTCGTCGACTTAGTCCCGCGCTGCAGATTATCATCAGGGTGGGCTTCATATTTTGTTCCATGCGACGACTCGAGGTCAGCTGATTGCATGCTCTCGCCATCTGGCCGTAGCTCTTTTTCCTGGACGGGAGAAACCAGATCCAGCTGTTGACTCCGCTCTGAAGTCCGAGGTCCGTGTTCCACTGCTCGTTGAGCTTCCGTCTTCTGCTTATTCTGTTTCGTCTTTTTCAACTTACTGGTACGATTCTTCGCTGTTCGGTGCTGTTTACTTTTCCGCTGCTTCTGCTCACCCGTCTCCGTGTCATGTACGGGACTCTTCGTCTCTGAGACTGGCAGCGTCGTATTCACTGTACTCTCGTAAATAAATTTCTCGTACAACAACCTCTGCGTCATCTCGTCCGAGTATTGTACCCACCGCAGCGTATCTTGTGGCCCATCTTCAAAAAGACCAGCTGGCACATCATTTTCCTCAAGCTCGCCATCTACAACGAGCGTAGTACCCACTCGATGCACTGCCAACGACACGCGAGCGTGCGAGTACGGCAATTTAAACAGTTTTTTGATATTCTCGGCCGGGCCAAGAAAATCCACGTCCTCATCTTCAGCTGCCGATGTCAGAAGTTCCACTTGACCACCACGTAACCGAACCGACAGCTGCGGCTCTTCAACTTCTTCTTGTTCTTTCCCCTCCTGCTGCGTCAGATCTCCGAGTCGTAAAAGCACATTCATTAGCTCTTGGGACAGCGTCGACGTCGTCGTCGCTTTTTTTGAACCCGTGGCCAATGTCTCGGTTTTTATGCCTAAAAACTCTGATGCGAACTGCTGCGTCGCTGAGAACGACGTTTCTCTCGTTCGAGGACTTTCGGATCCAGAACTCAGGGAACCTGCATAAGACCCACTCGAGCTCGTCCGAGAGCGGGGTCCCTTGTCTCGAATCCGACCTGGCAACATTGTATCATTTAAGTTCGTATTCAGCTGGAGCTTTTGAAATGGCACAACAGCAGATGAAGAGGGAGACTGAACGTCCCCCGAGGTGAGGTGGTCATTGGGGCCGTGATCGGTTTCCCATAGAATTAAAGGGAAGACTGGGGAATGAGACACTGAACCAGAAGATGAAGGGGATGAAGGTGAAGATGAGGACAGGAGGGGAGAGGAAGGAAGTGAGATGTGCACCCCCTCAGTAGAATGTGCAATATACTCATAGGTTACAGTATCAGAATGACTGGACGGGTGCGTAGTAGGGGACACAGGAAGTGAGAAGGAAGCGACGCCATCGTCCGGGGGTAGCGCCATGGGTTGACAACTGAATGAATGGGTTCGAGTGTCCGTCCGAGATCCGCTTGAGGGTGTGACTGGAAAAGAAAAAGTGAGCGATTTGTGAGTGGCATGAGCTGCTGAGGTTCTGTGCCTCAGTTTGAGCGAGATCTGATGCACTCTTTTTTTGTGATTTTGTGTGTGAAATTGGTGAAGCGAGTGACGAACGAGCTCCTGGACTTATTTTGATAGAAAATGGGCCCTAGCTACGATAGTCGTCCATCCATACAAGAACCTCTATCGAGGGTTACATTCCGGTTTAAGGAACTCCGTGTCCCGCACCAAGCTGCGTCACTTAGTTTTTGTATGTTGACGCTGTATGAGAGACTTCAGAAATAGAGTACTAAAACAGCGCGCACCAAACATCAGTTCCTCCCCTCTATATTAGACTTGCCACAGTCTCGCATTGCCTGCCATCTAGCACATTTGCTTTCGTTCCACCTGAAACATGTCGACAGATTGTACGGATCTGACGATGGAGCAAAAGCGTCAAGTGCTGGTGCACACCACACGCACATCAGGCTTAAAATTGCTCATGTAACGGGGTAAATCGTTACATAACAATTTATAAGAAATTGTTAATAGAATACAACAATAAGAGTTACATTCTTAGAATATTGTCATAAGGACAATATTCTGCAGCACTTTCGAGTAGTTCCTAATTGGTTGATATAGGCCATTACATCAACCAACGAAGACGCGCCACGACAGACGCACGCAATGAGTGGTGAGCAGATAACTGATTTACACATTTGTATTTAGACATAGTTAGATGAAGATAAATAGTGATTTATTGCAGACATTAACTATTATAAATACAGTTCTACTTTTTACTTTAACCAAGTACTCGCTTCTTCTTACCGTCTTCCTCTGCACGTACGAGTGTACGTGAAGTTACGAGGCACCGCCTTATTCTGTCATCAGAATAAGTAGCTTGTACTGTCACCAGTACAAGCTTCAGGGTGCCCCGTTACACCTGGTAGCACTTCGTAGTCCGTCCAATGACCGCGTTCACATCCAACATGAATATGTTGGATGATGAAGATGACCAAAGCTTTCACGCTACGCGTGACAGCTTCTCCCATTTGAGCGATGTCGAATGGGATGTGGTTGAACGAATGGGTTCAACCGTGGGCATCCATGCTGTTAGCGTCATGCTAGAGGCTCTCTAAAGAGATGCCCAACATGCTACTATCGCCAAGTTCATCCAAAATGAACTCGACACTGAATGCGAGAAAGTAGCCTTGCTTCACCAACAAGGTTCTCAACAAGCAGAGTTGTTGAGAGAACAGGGTGCTCAACAGTTTGAACTGTTGAGACAGCAGCAAGCTGCTGCTGGCGGGTCGATGCACTCGCGTCGGCCCGAGACTTTGAAGATTGACATCTCAAAGTATAGGGGGGTCGAAGAAGACTCCCTCTTGAGATGGTTCGTCGAATTGGACGACGCTATAAGGGCGCGTCGCATCGACGACGGGGACATGCAAGTTGCATTTGCCCAATCAAAGCTGGCAGGACGTGCCAAGACTTGGGCACTGGGGCTCAAGTTGCACGACCCATATGCGTTTGGGTCGTTGGAAGTCTTCAAGTCGCGGCTCAGACAAACGTTTGAACCGCCTAGAGCTGAGTTCAGGGCTCGAACCGAACTCTTAAAGCTCAAGCAGGGTAAGCGTGATGTGCACGCTTACGCTCAACATATACGACATCTCACGAGTTGTATAAGTTCCAATCCGGTGGATGAACACACGTTGGTTTCGGTGTTCATGCAGGGTCTTGCGGATGGTCCCGTCAAGACTCACCTGTTCCGGCTTGAACTAGATTCACTAGAACAAGCCATTTCCATTGCGGAGCAGGAAGACTTCAGTCTGAGACAGGCTCGCGCCAGCTCGACATCATATCGTCAACCGAGACGATATGACAACGGAGGTCCAGAGCCGATGGAACTCTGTTATGTAGAGAGCGAGAAGGCTCGCTCTACAGACTACAAGAGGTTGCAGAAATGCAACAAATGTCAAAAGACAGGACACTACGCTTACGAGTGTAGTGCCCCTCGTCCAGTGTCTCGCAACACTGGGCGTAGTGACCGTCCACCAATGAGAAAGGGGCAGGGACGTGGGTCCGCTGTTGGTGCAAAGACGCAACAACGGGATGGACCGTCAAAAAACGGACAGGATCAGTAGGTGCGGAGCACCCTACTGGTCCAGCAACGTCAGGAGAATTTGTAGGCCTCTTGATGAAGGGGGCTCCCAACACACAAACGTTGTGTGTTGCTGCTCTAGGTAATGAGATCTCACTCATTACCTTGAAACTCGAAGTGACAAATAAGTTGTCCCTTCGAGCTCTAGTCGATTGTGGGGCGTCCAACAATTTTGTGCAACGCCAATCGCTAGAAGATGGTCACTTCAAGTTCAGTGATTGTGACACACCTCCTATGAGGATGACGGTACGTCTTGCGACAGGCGCATCCGTAACCGTCATGAAGCGTATAGTGAAGATCCACTATACGCTAGAAGATACCCAATATGACGATGACTTTATCGTATTGGATTTGGATGACAAATTTGATGTCATCCTTGGAATACCGTGGCTCAGAAGGTACGAACCACGGGTAAACTGGCAACATCGAACAGTAACGATGCCTGCCGCTTGTTCATCAGATGGCCATCTGATGAACGTTTTGGAGCGTCCACAAGCGTGTGGATGTACTACGGGTGAGTGCGATGGCCTCACTTGTGGTACGGTCGTTAGTACGACTGCACAAAACCTTAGTGTACCAAACGGTTACACTTCGGAGCTAGATTCCGGCGGCTGTGAGGAAACACAGGCTGCGCCGAAGGTCCACCACTCGAATGAGTCGAGTGGACCAGGACAAAGATGTATCCCTAGCGGGGAACATCTAGAAGAGAAACAATCGATCGCTCAGGTTAAGCGAAACGATAATCCTAGATCGACTGGAGAGTCTTTCGCAGAGGATCTCTCTGTGGTTGCGCAACCACAGCTAGAGGAAGTTAAGGGAATAAGTCCCGATATTACAAATACGGTGGAAATAAGTTCCCCGAACACGCGGGAATAAGTCCCAGGGAAGCCGAAGGAATAAGTCCTTCGAGGCCTGAAAGAATAAGTCCCCAGTAAAAGATAGAGACATTGAATGTCATAGTCAATGACGGATCAAGTGTAGGCGCTTACACACTTGATCTGATTGCGCCTCCGAATTTGACTTCGGAGATCAATCAGTTGCCAACGCTCGAACATAAAAGGTTCTTGCGTGATCTGCGTAGTGGCAAAGTCAAGCAGATCTGCGTACTCGTCGCTGACGACGAGTGTGTAGCCGACGTAAGGTCAGCAACAGTGTTTACTGAGAACTAGAGAGTTCTCAGTAGTTCGTCTATGGACGAGAGTGTCCTGGATGAAAAGACACGAATTGAGCGATATGACTCCCAATCGTGGGAATCGCTCAAGACAAATCCTCTCTATGAAGATTTGGTTAAATTCAAGGATGTTTTCCCTGAAACTGTTCCGTGCGAATTACCGAAGGATAAAGGTATTCGACACGAGGTCGAGCTTAAACCAGGCTCGAAGTACTGTGTCATGAAGCAGTGGCCACTGCCTCGTGAACAAGTACTTGCGATCGACAAGTTCTTTGCCGATCGTTTAGCTGCGGGCCATGTGAGGGAATCAACTTCCCCACATAGCTCTCCGACCTTCTGTGTGCGAAAAGCAACAGGAGGGTGGCGGATAGTGCATGCTTTTAACAAGTTGAATACTGCAACGGTACCGGCTCAGACGCCGATACCGAGGAAGGACGTAATCATTGATGGTATGTCAAAGAGTACAATCTTTTCGTCCATGGATTTGATGGATGGCTTCTATCAAATCCTTATGCGAGAACGGGATATACCCTATACCGCAATTAGCACGCCTAGCGGCATGCTCTGGGAGTGGCTAGTAATGCCACAAGGGCTTAGTAATGCCCCTGCCACGTTCAACAGATGTGTATCACATCTGTTGAGACCAGTACGAGAATTCGCGCCGAGTTATTTCGATGGCGTATTCATCCATAGTCGGGCTATGGATGGAAAGTCGGATGTTGAGGTTCACAGGTACCACGTCCGACAGGTTCTTACAATCATGCGAAAGCATCAATTGTATGCAAATCTCAAGAAGTGTATATTTTCAGCAAGCGAAATACCACTTCTTGAGTGCATCGTTGGTAAGAACGGTGTACATCCTGATCCCGAAAAGATCAAGGCGATCACCGACTGGCCTGTGCCGGTTGATGTCAAAGGTCTTCGAAAATTCCTTGGGCTAGCGGCGTATTTGCATAAGTATTCACGCAATTACGCCGAGATGACTGTACACCTCTCTCGTTTGTTGAAAAAGAACGAGAGGTGGTTATGGAACGCTGAATGTCAGCGCTCCTTTGATGGTATCAAGCAGAGCTTGATACAATCCCCAGTCCTAGCAATAGCCGATCAGGACAGGCCATTTCATGTGGTCTGTGATGCCAGCGATTTCGCAATCGGCTGTGCATTAATGCAATACGATCTTGAAGGCGTTGAACGCGTCGTCTGCTATCAGTCGCGTCAGCTGCAACCAGCTGAGCGGAACTATCCAGTGCATGACAAGGAAGTCCTTTCCATGAAGTCTGCACTCGCGAAGTTCAGAGTCTATCTATTAGGAGATAGACCCTTCATTGTTTACACTGACCATGCGTCATTACGCACGGCAGTGAACAGCCCGCACCTTTCACAACGAATGGCGCGGTGGTTGTCATTCTTTGCAGAATACAACTTTACGGTCGAGTACAAACCAGGACGACTTAATGTCGTCGCTGATGCACTTTCACGTCGTCCCGAATTTGAAACAGTCGTGAAACCCAACAGTGAGACAGTCACTGTTGCGGTTATGACGTCCTCAGTAACATCTTCAACGTTGTATGATGATGTGAGGCGGGCATACGCCCAAGATGGTGAGATTGTGAAGTTGTTGACACATCTCTCACAGCCATCTCGAGAATCGTTGAAACAATTATCGTCTGCGTATCGATCTGCATCAGATCGACACACTACTCGCAACGGGTTACTGTATTATACAGCCGTTTCTGGTGACACACCACGTGTTGTCATTCCAGATGATACTGATCTGCGTTTGCGGATCATGTTCGAGTATCACGATGCTCCTATAGGAGGACATCGTGGCCGGGAGAAACATATCTCACGGTGAGTCGTGACTTTTACTGGCCCCGCCAGTATCAGTTTGTGCAAAAGTATGTTCGCGCATGCGAAGTCTGTCAACGAGTGAAGTCAAGTCCTTCACTGCGTGCACCTTTACATCCTCTACCGGTCCCGGCTGAGTGCTGGGAATCCATCTCAATGGATTTCGTCTTCGGGTTACCCAAAGACGCACGCGGGAATACGGGTATTCTCGTATTTGTTGACAGATTCAGCAAAATGGTACACCTTGTGGCTGTACCAGAGTCAATAACGGCAAGTGGCTGTGCTTGTGTCTTTATTAACACCATCTTCCGACTTCAAGGGTTGCCCCGTGAACTCGTATCAGACAGAGATCCACGATTCACTGCTGATTTCTGGCTTTCCGTGTTCAAATCACTCGGAACGCGCTTGAAGATGTCGACATCTGATCATCCCGAGTCAGATGTTCAGACGGAACGTGCCAATCGTGTCCTTGAAGAGATACTTCGAGGGTACGTACACTCCTTTAAGAGTTGGAGTGAGTTCTTGCCAATGGTAGAGTTTGCCATTAACACCTAGGTGCATGCGTCCACGACACATACACCGTTTTACGTGAATGGCTTGCGCCATCCGCGTGTACCCACCTTACTAGAGTGTAACTCTGGTTTAAGGGGGGGGAGGGACTCGCGCGAGCAAAAACCGATTTGGTTCACGCTCATCACGCTCTGACGAAGAGGTCATTGCGTTTGATGCCGATATCGATAACATCGACATCGAAGAAGATGATGCCAGTGAGAATGCGGAAGCCCTCACTGAAGAAACGATTGATGTTGCTGCAGTGCACTCACAGCGCACTAAAGCTAACGAGTCATCAGATGAGTTCATACTGGCTCGTGAAACGGTAGTCCGTTTTGTGCAAGACTCCATCGCCGAAGCGGTGGATAAGCAAAAGCAAAACGCTGACAAGAATGGAAGGGCAAACACTCTTTTATTTAATAAAGGTGACTTAGTCCTACTGTCTACGGTTAATCTACCAAAGCATGTAGTGACTAACTAGGGCAGCAATAAACTACTACCCAAGTACATAGGCCCATTTCGTGTATTGCACCGCCTAGGCAATGCATACACGATCGAGTTGCCACGTAAGATGCGAACGCATCCAACATTTTACGTTGGTCGGCTTAAGCCGTACCATCAGTACGCTGATTCTTCCGATGAAGAACGCTCTTGCGCTCAAGCATCTCGCAGAGAGCCTTGTTCTCCCGATGGTGGGCATCGACAAGGGTCTGAAGAGCAGTTATCTCATCCCGAGACCGATCAACAATCCCACGAGCTACGCTTAGCTCGTCACGCAGAGATGTCAGAGCTCTCTCGCTCTCAAGCTGAGCAAAGGCAAACTCAGATTGATGCTTCAAGACAGTGTCCGCCATTTGGAGACGCCTGTCCCGCTCCTGTTCGAGATTGCCGCGTAACCCTTGCGTTACGCGATCAAAGAAGCTCTCGGGAACACACGGATACCCACGATCGTGTGGAGAGCGTCTTCCCTCCTCCTCCTCCTCCAATAGAGGACTCTCGCGGTGGCCAGCGCTATCTAGTTGAGCAGCTGTTGAACCACCGCAACGTGAACGGACGTCGGACGAGTTATCTCGTCCGGTGGCGCGGCTATCCCCCGTACTGGGATACTTGGGAGCCCCGCTCCCAACTGATGGTTGACGTACTGGGTCTGGTTGAGCAGTACGACGCGGCACATCCTGTGCCGCAGAAGGACCGCCGGAGAAAGTCTTCCCGGAACGGTCGTAAAGGGATTTCAAGTTGTCAATCCCTTCGTACATCTCAATAGAGATACGTACGCGCCACCACGGGCTATTAGGGAGGTAAGCCTCCTTAGGTGCTCGTGCAGAGTTGTTCACACAACATGGGCACGAGTCTCCCCAAGAGAGGCAGGGTAATCCTTTCTCCCTTGACAGACGATGCAGCTTGTAGCGTGC